TTTCAAATTAGTGTTTTCATTTTCTTTGGGGAAAATATCTAGAAGTAGAGATACTGGATTTTATGATAGTTTTATTTTTAATTTTTTGAGGATGCTCCATACTGTTTTCCATAGTGGCCGTAGCAGTGGGCATTCCCAGCAACAGTGTACAAGGTTTCCCTTTTCTCCATATCCTCACCTACACTTATTAGTGCAGAATTGCTATTTTTATTATTCATATTATTTGGTGATGGTGTTATCATCAAATTTTACATGGAATTTTTTTTATTACAGATGGTACCTTCTAAAATTCCTACCTGTTTAGAGGTAATCAAGATGATAAAACACCATAATATATTGGGATAATGACAGGACAAGGAGAAGGAATCAAAGATATAGTACTTAGTATTATTTCTTTGGTATTATTTACATTTTACCTTAAATAGGGTACAAGTTCAAAAATATATTATTTTTCTGTAATGGGGAAACAGTTTAAAAAATCATTTGTCTTTCTTGGAAAAATTTACTAAAATGTGTAATTTTGTGATTTGTGTGTTTATGGCTAAAAGGCTCACATTCTTCTGAAAGTACAGTCTAAACTGGAAAACAGTAAAAGTGGCCTATTCACAAAGTAAGGCACATTCTAAATCATGTATAATTGCATATTTATGTCTTTTGAAAACTTTGTTAGAAAAGGAAAAATACTCAGAATCTGCCAAGTTTTAGGGAGACCATCATCCAAGGAACTGGGGACAGAAGTCAGAGACTTCCTTTAGTTAAGCTGCTCTTCAACATCACAGTGGTTTTCTCCACACTTCCCAGAGTCTTTCCCACTATGCCCTCCCGTCCTCCTCCTCGCCAGGTTTCCGTGCATCCTTTCTCACACAAGGGAGGCTAGAAGGACTTCTGAAGCTAGAAGTGATTATTAGAGGAGTTAGTTACTTTGCTATGAAAAATTTAATCATTCTTCTTGAGAATGGTATTTCTGCATCTTCTTACACTTGAATATTGACACAATTTTCTGTAAAATATCAGAAGCTGTTCAAGCTACAAATCCCCAAAAGGTGTGTACCTCTCTATATTTGACATTTGTTATATAGTATTTATAAACAAAACCAGACTTTTTCATGGGGCTAAATATCTCCTTAACAGTCATTACATACAACCAGACTGGAAACTCTTGACGAGAGGAATTGCTTATAAAGAGTGTTAAACAGGGGCGCCTGGGTGTCTCAGTGGGTTAAAGCCTCTGCCTTCGGCTCAGGTCATGATCTCGGGGTCCTGGGATGGAGCCCCGCGTTGGGCACTCTGCTCAGCGGGGAGCCTGCTTCCCCCTTCTCTCTGCCTGCCTCTCTGCTTACTTGTGATCTCTCTCTCTGTCAAATAAATAAATAAAATCTTAAAAAAAAAAAGAGTGTTAAATAAGTACTTCTAATGTAAACATACCAACCTTATTTTGGTAAAAAATGAGACCTGTGGTAGATTAAAAATCAAAATTTTAAAAACAAATGATACTATGAGATAGCCTTATAGTTTATAATTTTATGACCCATTCAATCTGGGGGGAGTTTGGATAGGTTTTTACATTTTTTCCTGTTTTTTAATTTTGAGATAGTTGTATACTTGCATGTAGTTGTAAAAATGCAGAGATGCCATATTTCCTTCACCCAGTTTCCCCTAATGGTAATATCTTGCATAACTGTAGTATAATATCACAATTAGGAAATCCACATTGGTAAAATCCACTGATTTTAATCAGATATTTCCAGTTTTATGTGCTCTAATTTATGTGTATGTGCATGAATGTGTGTGTGTTCAATTCTGTGCAGTTTTATCACATGTAGCTTCATATGACCATCATCGCTGTCAACACACAGAACAAGTTTATCACAAGGATCCCGCCTGTTACCCTTTCAAAGCCACAGCCACCTCCCTGCCTGCCCTCACATCCTTGATCCCAGCAAACCTCTGGTTCTATTATCCATATCCATCATTTTGTTAGCTCAAGAACGTCATAAATGGAATAATATACTACTTAACCTTTTGAGATTGGCTTTTCTCACTCAGCAATATTCCCTTGAGACCATCTAAATTGTATCAATAGATTGTTCTTTTGTATTGCTTAGGAGTAATCCATATTACTACAGTTTATTCACCCCTTAAAGGATATGTGAGTTGTGGGCTATTTATAATAAAACTGCTGTAAATATTTGTGTACAGGTTTTGTTTTGTTTTTAGAAACAGAGAGAGTGAGAGCTGAGGTGGGGAGGGGAAGGGAGAGAGGGAGAGAGAATCTCAAGCAGGTTCCATACACAACAGGGATCCCAACACGGGGCCCAATCTCATAGCCCTGAGACCATGACCTGAACCAAAGTCAAGAGTCAGACACTTAACCGACTGGACCACTAGGTGCCCCTGTGTACAGGTTTTTATATGAGCATTTGCATGTCTCAGGATAAAGCTTGTAACTGTTGGGTTGCATAGTAAATGCAATGTTTCATTTTGTAAAACACTGCTGTAGTCTTTTTCAGTGTAGCTATACATTTTTCATTTCCATGTGCAATGTATTAATGATCCAGTTTCTCTACAATCTCATTAGTAACCCTTGATATAATCCCTATTTTTTTTTTAATTTTAGCAATTCTGACAAGTGTGTATTGATAACTCAATGTGGTTATTATTTGCATTTACCTAATGGCCAGTGATGTTGTATATCTTTTTGTGAACTTATATGCCATCTACATGTACTCTTCACTGAAATGTCTTTTGTTCATTCTTTAGTAAGATTTTAAAGATGTATTTATTTTAGAGATGCGGGAGGGGCCACTGAGGGGGAAAGAGAGAATCTCAAGCAGACTCCCTACTGAGCATGGAGCCCATGGGGGAGCTCCATCTCATGACCCTGAGATCATGACCTGAGCTGAAATCAAGAGTCAAGCACTTAACCAACTAAGTCACCCAGGTGTCCCTCTAATAGGGTTTTTTTAGTACTGTTGAGTTTGAGTTTTGAAGGTTCTTTACATATTCTAGATACAAGTCCTTGACAGAAATGCCTTGCAAATATTTTGTTCCAGGCTGTAGCCTGTCTTTTCATTTACCTCACAGGGTCCTTCCTAGAGTATACATTTTAAATTTTGACTAAAGTAACTGGCTACTGTAACAAATTACCACCAATTTGGTAGCTTAAAAAACCCAGAAATTTATTCTCTCATAGTCTGGAAACCAGAAGTCTAAAATCAAAGCGTCAATTACCTCCTCTGAAGGCTCTAGGCAAGAATCTTCCTTGCCTCTTCCAGCTTCTGGTGGCTCTCAGTGTTTATTGGCTTGTGGCTGCAAAGCTCCAATCTCAGACTCTCTTCTGCCTCCACCACTTGTCTTTCTTATGCGTCTCTTAAAAGGACACTTAATGACTAGATTTGAACCCACTTAAATAATCCAGTATGATCTCATTCTAGGTCCTCCATTCTAGGTACCTGCAAAGACCCTTTTTCCAAATAAGGTCACATTCAAGGTTCCAGGGATTTGAAGAATTTGAAGAACGTGTCTTTTGGAGGTCATCGTTCAACACACTGCAGAGGGGAAACCACTGGACTAAACCAGGTGGGAACGGAGGTGCAGCATCCTGGGTCCTGGTGACACTGGGGATCAGGAAAGGGCAGTGAAGTGAAGAGTGACCCACACTTCTTTGTACTAGTTGGCTAAGTCTTGTAGTTGCCTAGAGGAAGACACGGGACCCCAACTGACACTAACCCAGGAGAGATATACTACCTTCTTTTGCTGGGAGGAAGATGGAAAATCAGCTCCCTGCTTGGTCAGCCTAAACTACCTGGCAGGGGAGTCATAGTGCTACTTCTCAACTCTGTCAGAGCACCACCAGCTGCTTCTGTGGGGTGGAAATAAGCTGGCTGTAAGATCATCTCTCTGCTTTGCCCGCTGGTTGTAAGATCATCTCTCTGCTTTGCCCGAATGAAATCAAAGAGGGAGTGGGTGCCGTTTTTAGGTTGATGTTTGGCTGCTGTAGATCTTGTTCCATTGGGCCACCCTTTTGTTCATAGCTACTCCTACAGCTATGAGGAACAGGCTTTTTCTTGAAGCTTTTGTTGTCATTCCTGCCTGGTGATGGTTCCGGATTGCTGTCTGGAATATATGGAAGGCAATAAGGAGACCCTGACAATGACTGGTATGTCATTCCTCAAGTCCTAAGGTCCTTAAGCAGTTTGCCTTCTTCTTTTTATATATGCTTTAGTCTTCCTATGCTTACATGCAGAGTCTTTTGGTTTTAAGAGGAAGGATTTGGGGTCACCTGAGTGGCTCAGTCGTTAGACGGCTGCCTTTGGCTCAGGTCCTGATCCCAGAGTCCTCGGACTGAGCCCTGCATTGGGCTCCTTGCTTGACGGGAGGCCTACTTCTCCCTCTCCCACTCCCCCTGCTTGTGTTCCTTCTCTCACTGCGTCTCTGTCAAATAAATAAATAAACATCTTTAAAAAAAAAAAAAAAGAGGAAGGATTTGGGAAGAATGGGTTACTACATCTTGGCCAGAACAAGAAATTGATTCATGACTCATTTAATTTTAAATTCATACATTCTATTGGAATTCTTTTCAAGTGTTATGTTCATGTCTCCTACAATGATCAATTTAAGCAGTAAGCAAAGAAAAAACAATTTAAAATATATTTTAATTTTTAATTAGTGCTGACTTCTGTGTATGTTTTCTTACTGATCTTTTTGCAGAGCATTTTCCAGGGGAAAAAAGGCAATAGATAAAAGGACATTAAGAAAACTTGTTATGGGGGCGCCTAGGTGGCACAGTAGGTTAAGTCCCTACCTTCAGCTCAGGTCATGGTCTGAGTCCTGGGATAGAGCCCTGCATCAGGCTCTCTGCTCAGCAGGGAGCTTGCTTCCCCCTCTCACTCTGCCTGCCTCTCTGCCTACTTGTGATCTCTCTCTCTCTCTGTCAAATAAATAAATAAATAAAATCTTTAAAAAAAATAAAGAACACTTGTTATGAACATCATTCTTACATGGGATTAAAAACTATATTTAATGCTGTTCTCTTGTACAACTATGAGTTCTTATTTCCACAAAGTACCTTCTGTAATTTGTACAAGGATACTGTTTAGAATAGTTTAACAGGATTTATGCATACTGACTTACAAGTAAACTGCAATAACTGCCACACGTGCTTTTCTATGGCCTCACTTCTTCTTTAGGAATGATGCGTGACTGCTATGATGGTATCCACGTCCTACTGGAGATCTGAGTGCCTTTATTCCATCCTTTGCATTGAGGATGAAGCTTACTAAGTTGGAAGGCATGGTTGCTTCAATTATTGATGGGGACAATTTTCCTCTCATTTCTGTCTGGATAAACATCACTAGTTTGGAATGCGCTGGGTTCCTGTAAACAAAGGAAGAGTTAAAAAAAGAGATTTTTAGATTTATCTAATGAATTTACAAGTTGATAGAAAGCAGGATTCTTGTCTCATTCACCATGGAGTCCCTCCAAAGTGCTTATGATAGGACAGTTACTGAAGGAAGGGAGGAAGGAAGGATACAAAAAAGGGCAGAGTGATTTGCACTCATAGACATTTTACATAAAACTACTTAGTCAGGAGTCTTCAGTCATCTTTTCCTTTTTGTCATTTTGTTAACTTCTTCAAATTACAAAATTAATGTATGCTTAAAAAAATTTAAATACAGAATTTTCATAATTATTCTGTTCCCCAGAGCTAGTCACTATTTATACTTTTAACTGTTTTTTTAGATTGTCTCTATATATACAAAGATAGCATACATAAATATGTATACCTACCCCATATATTTTTGTTTTTACAAAAATGAGATAATATATTTCTGCAACTAGTTTTATTTTCCCTCTTAATAGGATATCATGCACTTCTTTCTGTTAATACGTATCTGTTTGTTTTTTATGACTGCATATAGTATTTCATTCTCTATGTAATCAGTCCTTTATTGATTATCATTTGGGTTTTTTCTTCACTTTTTGTCACTATAAATAAAGCTGAAATAAAACATCTTTGTAATGTATCTATTTTCACTTCTACAAATACATGGAATTTCTAGGTCAAAGGTTTTGTGCATTTAACATTTTGAAATATTCTTTCCAAATGACATTGAGGATCCAGTAATCCTCAAACTGGAGTATATGAAGACTTTCCAAAGGGTACAAGAGGATGAATAACGTTTAAAGGAATAAATTTTCAAATCTCTAATTTCCATATGTACCTCTTCCCTAAACTGATCTGAGACCATCTCTGATGGAAATGTAGGCTTTTCCTTTCCCACTAGCCTGTTCATATCATCCTTCTGTTGCTTTACAGAACAAAGGTACTGTCATCTTCCCTGAATAGTACCAAATGATACTATGGTGTTTTACTCTGACATATAAAAAAGTGAATGACAGAAAGTGAAGGACTAATGACTGGGTAACAAATCCTTACCAAGTCATGTCAATTCTTTGTTTTCAATAAAATTTAAGGATCTAACTTGGTTGTCAGCTGACAGGTCATTAAAAATATTTTTTGATTATAGGTCACTATGTACTTTATGGTATATAACACAAAAGAATTCAAGGCATTTAATGAAAATCCTGGAATTATATTCTTTTCATTTTAACCCACTTATTTATGCAAACAAATTTTCTCACTGCTTACATTCATAAAAATGTGACATAGGAATAGACAATAGTAAGTGCTAGCTCATTTTTTTGTTTGTTTTGTTTTTTTGTTTTTATTTTTTCAATGTTCCAAGATTCATTGTTTTTCTACCACACCAAGCTATCTTATTAGTATTACTAATACACAATTAAGTGAACTGTAATTGTTAGAAGCATGGACTCTGGAACCAGTTTGCATTGGTCTGAAGCTGAGCTTTGCTATTACCTATGTTTAACCTCGAGAAAATTACTTAATCTCTCTGGACTTCCATTTTCTTCCTGCAAAATGGAGATAGTACTACCTACTCATGAGGTTATTGGGAGGACCAAATGAATCAATATATGTAAATTGTTTATAAAGTTCCTGGTACAACATAAATGCTATCTAAGTTTTGCTAATAATAAAAGGTGTGTTTTCCATAACTTTGCTTTTATACTTAATAGTCACATCATATTTGGTAATATATTTTTTATTTTGATCATGTAATAATAATTTAATCTAGTACACACATATATTTTGTAACATTAAGATACTTAAGGTCACAGGAAATAAAATGGATTTTTAAAATTAAACATTTTTTTCAAAGAAAAATGACAGGGTGATTAATAAAAGAATAAAAGAACTCAAATAATAATATATATTCTATTAGGATTAAATTATATGAGGAAAAAAGAAAGAATGTGGGAATAAGGAGAAATCAATGATGTCAATTTCTGACTGAGGTTGTATGTATTTTGAAATTGATAGTTATCATAGGTTTCTAGTTATTATGGTATTTAGAGTTTATTGGGTATGCTTACAAGAATGACAGAACACTTTTTTTTTAGAGTGTCAATATTTAGAGTGCTGAAAATTGCACCCTCATAATTTAATCCTATGAAAAATTTTAATATCAACTTAAAAATGTGCAAGGCAGAGTACAGTTTTACAAAATTCTTTTGCAGGGATATGAAGATCACTCCTCCAGCAAACCATGTGTCCATTTTCCTATACCCTTGTCTATGGAGTGTAGACTATTTTTACAGCACCTCAGGTGGCTAGATTGAGAATATTCACTAGCTGTTGAAAAGGTCTTAAATCTCTATTTGAGTTTGCTAGGGCTTTACATGCTTCAAAAACCTTTCCAGTATTTACTAAACAGTACCTTTACTACTGATAATAAGTTCTATAAGTTTACTACATAACTTGTTTACAAATGTTGGCTGCCCAAAATATTGTGCTGCATGGAAAGAGAAGGTACAAGAGAATCACTTTTGTCAGTACCTTTCTCTGAGACCACGGATGAGACTGTATCTTTTCCTCTAACAGCATGCTAGGCAGACCTCCCACCTTTGATGGGATATCCACATCAGAGCTTTTGCCCCATGTTTTTTGCAGTGGAAAGGGAAAGTTGACAAGATGCAAGAAGGGGACTTAGCCTGTGAAACACACATCAGAATGTGTAGCTTTCCAACTACAGTCCCTGCCAACCACTGATTTATCCAACTGACCTGAAGCAGTAATCCTTCCCTTGTTTTGTTTTCTCCTGCTGTGAAGAATAAGTCTTGACCATAGATTCAAAATTGACAGGTGGGTAAAAAGACCACCAATGTCACCATCTGCATCAATGATCCTGTCCATTAATGTACGTAATTGTGAATTTCTTTCAGTTCTCTTATTTGTAGAGAAAACATTAAGGAATACAGTCTAAAATGTAGTTTGATTTTGACTTTCTTTACATTTTTTTTTCCCACCAAATGAGAGGTTCATATCTGGCCAATATAAAATTTTATATGATTTTATGTGCCAATAGCTATTATTTGTATAAAATCATTTAGCAAAAACTAAAACTTAAGGAATGTATTGAATTAATGTACATACATTTACAAAATATATGTACTTTATGTTACCATTTATCCCTAGGCTGGTCATCTATGGGCAGTGACTCCTCTGATTTCTCTAGCTCTTTCCAAATTTACCTATTGTTAAGTATTTGTAGGCAGTCAACTGGAAAGAATTCATTTAAAGTAAAGCATTCATTGCTGATAAATGTGAGTGTATTATGATTCTAGGGATATGTATTTTTTTGGGGGGGCCTTTTTTTAAATTTTATTTTTTATTTTTTTATTTTTATAAACATATAATATATTTTTATCCCCAGGGGTACAGGTCTGTGAATCGCCAGGTTTACACACTTCAGAGCACTCACCATAGCACATACCCGCCCCAATGTCCATAACCCCACCAACCTTCTCCCAACCCCTCTCCCCCCAGCAACCCTCAGTTTTTTGTGAGATTAAGAGTCACTTATGGTTTGTCTCCCTCCCAATCCCATCTTGTTTCATTTGTTTTTTAATTTACAAAAAGTCCTTAATAATTCACAGAAGTAACTCAAACGGAGAAATAAAAGTCATTAGGTTAAGGTTCACTGGGGGTGAGGGGATAGAGAGAATGTGTATGTGTGACTAGTCCCAGAGACCTCAAATCATACTTTATAGGGAATTATCCATTCTGGTGATGAAAATACTTATAAAAATTATTTTTTTAATTGCATTTAGGGGCAATTTTTTTTCCTAACAGAATATGCTGGCACACACTTCTACCAATGAGTTAGAAATAATAAATTGAGCTAAAAAACTTGTTAAAATAAAATAAATAAATGTAAGTAACACTTACTCTTGCAGAGGAGAACATATATAGCCGCAAGCATGGTTAAAACCACGGACATAACTTGAAGATGGAGGATATGCTGGAAAATCCACACTGTTAGCTACATGATTAAAAAAAATTAAAATGAAGCCTATTTCACAAAAATTCTATTTCAAGTAGCATATTTATTTATTTATTTATTTATTTTTTAAAGATTTTATTTATTTATTTGACAGACAGAGATCACAAGCAGGCAAAGAGGCAGGCAGAGAGAAAGAGGAGGAAGCAGGCTCCCTGCAGAGCAGAGAGCCTGATGCGAGGCTCAATCCCAGAACCCTGGGATCATGACCTAAGCCGAAGGCAGAGGCTTTAACCCACTGAGCCACCCAGGCGCCCCTCAAGTAGCATATTTAAAAAGATAGATGATATAGCATTTAATTTAATTTAGTTATTATCAGTACTGATATTAGTTTTATACATATATACCTACATGTTTGTAATATGCTTGTATACAGACCAAAATTGAGAAAATGCCAGTATGAGCACTACTGTCCTCTCAAATTTTCTCATGCTATTATCTCTAAAGATACTGTTACCTTTTACATACAAGAAAAAGTATTAAAAGTATCATTTAGTTACTCTCTGAGATTTGAAGCAAAAGAAGAAATCACAAAGGAGAAGACTATTTCATTAGGATAGTGGGTTTATAGATACTTTTTTTGGTTAATCATTATTATTATTTTTTAAAGACTAAATTCTTTTTAATCTACTGATTTATATTTTAAGTTTTTGTTTGAATTGCAGTTGGTTAACATACAGTGGAATATTAGTTTCAGGTGTACAATATATGTGATTCAACATTTATGTACAACATGTTAATCATCTTCTAAATAAAATATTTGACATGGTTATTTTGTCTATCAATAAAGATAGTTTAAATGCTCTTTTCTGCTGGAGCACCTGATGGTTAAGCATCCAGCTCAGGTCATGATCTTAGGGTCTTGGGACCGAGCTCTGGGACAGACTCCAAATCCAGCATGAAGTCTGCTTGGGATTTTCTCTCCCCTCCCCCTGAACTCTCTCTGTAACATAAATAAATACATCTTTAAAAAAAAAAAACAAACTTCTTTCCTGCCAATTCCCTGTAGCTAATTCAAAGTATAATTAAAAATGAGTACAGCTTGTTTTAGGAATTACGCAGCATAACTATATTGTATGTGAATGTAAAAGGGAGGTGATTTGATTATGATTGTTTATGATAATGACATACACTCTAAAACTATTTTTTTAAAAATGTATTTATTTTTTGGGCGCCTGGGTGGCTCAGTGGGTTAAGCCTCTGCCTTTGGGTCGGGTCATGATCCCAGAGTCCTGGGATCGAGTCCCACATTAGGCTCACTGCTCAGGAGGGGGCCTGCTTCCCTCTCTCTCTCTGCCTGCCTCTCTGCCTGCCTATTTGTGATCTCTCTCTATCAAATAAATAAATAAAATCTTCTAAAAAATATATACATATATTTGTTTTTTCTGTGCAACTGAATCCTGCTTTTGTTGAAGATGGATTTTTCTATATGATTTTAATATAAGCAATCAATTCTCTGGGAAATGCAATGTTAAACACTAGCTTAGGAATAGCTTAAGAGATGAATGTGGCTGAATGCATTTTCCACATTCATGATGTATTTATCATCTTAACAGAGCCTACTGTGTTGGCATAGGGGTGCTGCCAGAGGTGATTTTAACGTATTTTTTTCTTTGTTTAAAATATGGAGATTGTCCTTGTTTTTCTTTAAAACTTTTTGTTGTTGTTGTTATATTCCACAAACAAGTATGGGTCTTTTATGAGGCATGTGGTATGATAGCACAGATTTTGGAAGTCAGAAGACTTGAGATTTAATTCTGGTTCAGGTGCTTATTAGCTATGTAACTTAATTTCTGTGAACTTTAGTTTCATAACTGGTGAAATAATGCACACAAAATATTAGCTCAAAGCAAGCTGCATAGTAAGTTATACAACAAATGGAAGAACATTAAGAAGAAAACTCAGTATTTATCAAAAATTCGTTTAAAGAAAATTGCTCAAAGCAGATTGGTACTGATCACTGAGTCATTGAGTACTACCACTATTTGTTTATTTTAATTTCCATAATTCTTTCTTACCTTCTCTTTAACACTAAAAATGAGATTGAAATGGTCTGCTTCAAAATACGGAAAATAACAGATCTACAATTCAGACATAGTATTTTGTGCTGTAGATGGTGAATAAAATTTATGTGCTCTCAGGTAAGAAGGAGACAGCTCAATGACAACTGTGAAACTACAAGACACACCTACAGAGAAGCGCTGAATCTCAGGCCTTACTGACCGCGCTGCCACAGAACTGTGTTTGAGTGAGCGCTGTTAGCAGAATGATGACGCAGTCTGGACTCTGAAACTTAGAGTCTCAGAGACAGAGCAGAGCAACTGAAACCTTGCTGGAAAATAATAATTAACAGCATTTAACTGTCCTATCCCCAAGAAGTTTACACTAGAGAAGGCTGTTCAGATAGGAATGGTGACATTTAACTGAAATCTGAAGAAATTAGCTCTAGGCTAAGAAAGTAGCTCTAAGCTACTGTCCTACCAAGTCCCTTCACCAGGAGTTACTGCATTTCTCTGAGTCCAAAGAACATTGTGGTATGAACTGGTACGTTTTAAGTGAATAAAGCAAGTTAGGAAATGATTACACATCTGCATTTTACCTAGTGATACATTTTTGGGAGGGCAAAGGATATATCAAAATCTCTAGTTTCTAAAAGAAACATAAGCACATTTATGTAAAGACGTGTCTAATGAAAATTTCTTCAGGAATTTTATTACTTACTGGATACGCCCATTCTATACAATTCAAATATAACATAATATATCCAAAGATTAACTTTGTGTCTTAGTAGATTTTAAACATATGCTGTGAGATTTTTGCCTGCAAGTATCTGTCTATACCCAGTGTAGCATGGTAAAAGCTACAAAAATACCAAGCAAGAGATGCCATAATTATTGACTGATGTAAATGGCACCTCCAGCATTGGGTAAAATGTCAATATTCTTTGTATTATACATATGTTTATTGGTCTCACTAAGTAAATAAAGAAGTAAAAACTGAAAACACAGTATTTTCCAAACTGTGGGTTAAGGGAAAACACATTTATTAATGTCTCATACTAATTCCAAATGTGGGCAAAATGTTTCAACTTACAACTGATAATATCCATATTCCCTTCGTAGCGCTTGAAGTACACTAAGTCGATAAAGTCCCGGGGGGAAATTGAGCCCATGGCAAAACTCTGTGTAATGGTATGACATATGATTGTGTCCTGGAACAAATTAAACCATAAAGATTCCAAGAGTTATTTGATATTTATTCTTTGTATCGCTTCCCAAAGAATTTCACTGCATACGGTTAGCTACTATTCAGAAAAAGCAGGGCTTTGAAGCTATAAGAACTTATCATCAAATCAGCTTGCATTTTCTGTGTTAGAGGAACATTAGATCTATAATTATAAGTGCAAAGTAAAAAAAGCAGAAATAAACAAGTGGGACTACATCAAACTAAAATGCTCTGCATAGCAAAGGAAACCATAAATAAAATGAAAAGGCAATGTACAGAATGGGAGAAATATGATTTGCAAATCATATATCTAGTCAGGAATTAAGTACAGAAAATTTAGAATGGAATCTTGTCATCTACTCTAAATTTTTAGATGAAGAAATCGAAGACTAAGAGATTAAATCATGCAAAACTAGAGGTAAGTACAGAACTAGAACCCTGTTCCTGATTCCCAGGACAGTACTATTTCTACCAGTCCACACTGGTTACATAATATATTCTGAAAAATACATTGGTTGAGCACCGTGGTGTCTGAGATCCTACCTCTCTGCCTGCACCCTGTCTTGACCTCCCCACGCGGCTCCTAGAGGTGTGCCATGGATTTGTGAGTAATAAACTTCTCATTTCGATTTCTCTTGTGGTCTTTTGTTGAAACGTGGCTCACCATCTGGGACCCTCTGCTCCATTTAACAAATGCCAATTTAACAAAGTGGGAACAGTCCTCCTCTCCCAGGCTGTGACTAAGGATTAATGCACTGCTGTTGATCGGATTTGTCTAGTGTTGGATGACATGTATTTGATCACCCCCACAGCCCTAGAGCAGGAATCCTTCCCTCACCAATGGGGGTGAATGAATCAGTTAAAACACATGCCTGGAGACTCATACTATTATATTCATAGGAAGGTAAAGTATTTCTTACAGTGTAATGCTATTTAGAGATACGTAGTATATTGGAAACGGCACAGAATTTGGAATCTGGAGATCAAGTGTTAAGCCATGATTCTACTACGTCCTGGCTGTGATGACCTTGGGCAAATCACATAATTTCTCTGAATCTGTTGCCAGGTTTTTCTGATGCCAAATCTAGTATTCTTTCCATTATTAAAGCTGACTTGCAGCAATAGTAGAAATATATGAAGTATGAATTGAACTGTACAATCAGTCATGAAAGAAACAGTCCGTTTGAATTTTAATTTCTGATGGACTATGTTTTTCAAACTGAATGTTTAAATCCCAAGAGGGTAGTGGAAAGGTGTTTTTTTGTGGACAAAAACTTCAGGATCCTCCTACAAAATGAAACATTTACTTTCCTTGGCTTTTCTACAACCTCTCTCCACTCCCAAGCTTTAAAATAAATTTAATAAAAGGAGGCAAAGGTAACCTACAGAATTTTTTTTTTTATTTGTCAGAGAGAGAGAGAGAGGGAGAGAGAGTGAGCGAGCACAGGCAGAAAGAGTGGCAGAGAGAGGCAGAGGGAGAAGCAGGCTCCCTGGCGAGCAAGGAGCCTGATGTGGGACTCCATCCCAGGACACTGGGATTATGACCCAAGCAGAAGGCAGCCTCCCAACCAACTGAGCCACCCAGCCGTCCCCAGAATTTTTTTTTAAAAGATTTTATTTATTCATTTGAGACAGAGAGAGAGAGAGCAGGAGCAGTGGGGAGAAGCAGAGGGAGAAACAGACTTCCTGCTGAGCAGGGAACCCAACGTAGGGCTCCATCCCAGGACCTGAAGAACATGACCTGAGCCAAAGACAGATGCTTAACCATCTGAGCTACCCAGATGCCCTCACCTACAGGATCTAAGTAAATGATAAGGTGATGGCAGATATGTGAGACATTTGTTTTGATGTGTGGAACGTGGCTTGGAGACACAAAGGACCAAAGACCTGGAATTTCACAAATGCAATTGTTTGTGAAAATCCTAAAAGTCTGCTTTATGACTCAATTTTTCAAAACAGCTTATTGAGGGGCACCTGTGTGGCTCAGTTGGTTAAGCATCTGCCTTTGGCTCAGGTGATGATCTCAGGCTCCTGGGATTAAGCCCCACACTGGGCTCCTTGCTTGGCGGGGAGTCTGCTTCTCCCTCTCCCTTTACCCTTTCCCACTGCTTGTGCTCCCTCCCTCTGTCTCAAATAAATAAATACAACCTTTTTAAAAAATCAGCTTATTGAGGTATAATGTACATACCACAAAGAACAGCAGTCTTAATAAATAAGAGGTCTATAGTGTGCTGCCCTAATTCTCTCTTAAACTCAGTCTTTTCTCTCACCTCTATGACTTAAACTTTCTACTCTAATTACCTGTATTTTTCTTTTCTTTGTTTTTATTCTTCCTCTTCAACTATTTAATTGAGATAAAGTATTTGAGATAAAGCATTGCTGAAACTACAATCATATTACTTCATTCCATACTGTATTCTTACTCTTGAGAAAAGTTACATGCTGTTTGCTCTTAAGTCCCTACAGTATGTGTCTGCATTATTCCTGTTATCTAATGTATTATAATTAAGATAAATCTACTGACTTCCCATCAACAAGGATAGGAAAATCAACAATGTTTTTCCACCTAATGGAGGAGATGAATACATAAAGTTCAAACCCTTCAAGACCAAAGACACACATCTGCAAAAGCCAGCTAGATTCAGGACGTGCTAAGCCTTTACAACAGAATCAAGCTAATTAGAATTAAACTTTTGACTAATAAAGAGGAAGTTTTAAGACTTTTATAAAGCTTTCAATGCGAGCCTATAAAATATGAAGGGTCTACATCACACTGATGTAGACATCAGTGTCTACACCATACAGGTTTGATATGCTCAAATCACCAGTAAAACTAAACATATACTGATATAGTAAAAATCCACTATCAGACAACAAATTACCAAATCAATCCTGTGTACCATATTGTACACCTTCAATGATTTATCCCATGTAACTCTGTTTTCAGGTTTGTAGAGGAAATCAGACAGTTTAGCTGTTGATTCTGGAATTATTCCTTCGACACGATATCTGCAGTTAACAAAATAGAGAAAATCAAAATTAAACAAGTTTTGTCTAAGCTCAAAATATAATGTTATCATAGTATACAGGAGGCTAATTTCTCTGCTCTACTTTCAGCAGGGAGCCTGCTTCCTCCTCTCTCTCTGTCTGCCTCTCTGCCTGCTTGTGATCTCTGTCTGTCAAATATATGAATGAAATCTTTTAAAAAAAAATAAAATTATGGGCGCCTGGCTGGCTCAGTGGGTTAAAGCCTGTGCCTTCAGCTCAGGTCATGATCTCAGGGTCTTGGGATCGAGCCCCGCATCGGGCTCTCTGCTCAGCAGGGAGCCTGCTTCCTCCCACCCCTTGCCTGCCTCTCTGCCTACTTGTGATCTCTTTCTGCCAAATAAATAAATAAAATCTTAAAAAAAAAAAAAGGCTAATGTAGCAAACAGGAAAGGACACTTGAAAGTAGTATCAGCAATTCAAAACACTAATATTCAATTGGATGTAGCCAGGTTTATTTAAATAATCACTGTAATAATTAATATAAATTATTTCAAAATGTATTTTTCTACAAATCTTGTTTATACTGTTTACAGTTGTCTTTTTAGAGGGGGCTACTTTCTTTTAGGATTTTTCTAAAATCTTTTTCATAAATATTTGCCTGCTGTATTTTATCATAAGCCAAAGTAACTGATGAGAAGTTTGTGGGGTTACACATTATCTTGTAGCCCCAATTCTTAATTTAAGGATGTAATGTGTCTAAAGCAGTAGTCAGCAATTTTTCAGGCCAGATGGTAAATAATTCAGACTTTGCAGGCCACATGATCTGTGTTGCAACTATTCAGCTTTTTTAGGGTGGAGTGAAGCAGCCAGAGACAATACAGAGTAAGTGGGCATGTCTGTGTTACAACTGAACCTTGGTCATAGCCAGTGACGTTTGAGTTTCATTCATTTTTAAGATGTCAGGACTTGGGCAAGTCCATCACTGAAATCAGATATGGTTATCCATCAATGGAATTAAGACAATGTGAGAAAACTGGATTAAAACTCACTATTTAGCAGAAGGTTGTTGAATAAAAATGAAGTCTGAATGATACTGGCTGTCCTTTTCTCCTTGTCAATGATTCTTTTCGAACTGAGAGGATAGGTTTAAGTAAAATCAAAATTTTTAAACCTCTAAAATGTTAAAAGTCCTGGGGGAAATGAGACAAAACTAAATACTATTATTAGTCTAAATAATTGTCATATTTGTAAATGAAAACTGAAACTTTGTTTTTATGATTTGGCAAACAAATAAGGAATTCATTTGACTATTTCTTTGTATGTTAATTTCTCTTTAAATCTCAGTTAGTCCTTAATTTTCTTTATGAGATAGCCTCAAATTTCCTTTTTTTTTTTAAAGATTTTATTTATTTATTTGTCAGAGAGAGAGAAAGAGCACAACAAGCAGGGGAACAGCAGGCAGAGAAAGAAGCAAGCTCCCTGCTGAGCACGGAGCCTGATGTGGGACTTCGATCCCAGGACCATGGGATCATGACCTGAGCTGAAGTCAGCTGCTTAACCACTCAGCTACCCAGGCGCCCCTCAAATTTCCTTACTTTGTAATGTTTCCTTTCTTCAGATCTATAAAGCTTTTAGGAGTTTATTATTAAGCTCTAAGTAAGATGTGAGAAAACAACCTGAAAAATTATCAGGTCCTGTGAAAAAGAAGTCAAATATAATACAGTTAAAATTTAAGTACAAAACTATGAAGGGATTTGTATATATTACCATGGATTTTTTTTTATTAATCTGCTCTCTCTTTAATTATACTATAAACTTTGAAGATAAAAAGCTTTGAACCTTTTTGTATTTTTTTTACCTTTTTATATTTCTAACTAATATATACAGATCTTCCTTGACTTACAATGAGGTTACACTGAGATAAACCATTTTAAGTTGAAAGTTTCTTAAGTCAAAAACACATTTACTACACCTAACCAACATCATAGCTTAGCCTCACTTGTGGTAACCTAACACAAAGCCTGTATTATAAGAAAGTGTTGACTATCTCATGTGATTTAGGGAAGGGTCCCTAACATATATGTAAGTTTATCAGCATTTGAGGATTTGAGATTTTTCATATCTACTGTTTAGGACAGGGTTTGGCAACCTATGGTCTATGGGTCAAATCTAGACTACTTCCTGTTTTTGTAATTAGTTTTACTGAAACACGGCTATACTTATTAATGTATTGTTTGTCTACTAATGTTAGTGCCTTTGTGCTATAAGGCACAAAAATGTATTTATGCATTGTGCTGCTATGCTATAATGGCAGAGCTAAGTACTTGCAACAGAGGCCAGAGCAGCAGCAAAGCCTAAAATATTTACTTACTCTCTACCCTTGGTTTATGCTGTCTACTCAATGGCTGATTTATTTTCCAGTCATTCATAAAGGTTAGAAAAGTATAAGTTACAGGTATTACATGACTATAAGGCAGAAATTATTTTGCTTTTTGGAAGATTATAAAACATAGTTAAAGTTGTGTCTTGGGCAGAGGATAGGCTTCTACTCAAAAATTACCTTTTCTTAATTCACTAATTGGATTAATAATTCATTTAATTAATTAGTGGATTAATTAATTCACTTAATTCACTAATATTAGAGTTGTGCTTTTAAAAATATGTAAATATCAAGCCTCTTTGAAAACACAAAACATTTATGTGTATTGAGTACTTGAGTCTAATTGCTTCTCGGCCTTTTGGCTAAGATCAAGTGGAATACTTGAGTCTATCACTCAATGAACAATTCAGTATCTACTGGGTTCAAGGCTCTTCAGAGATATCAATTTTGTCATACTTGAATCTAAGAACTATATTCTTATATATATTGATCATTAAGATGAACAGCTCATTAGATATTTTATTATGATCTATAATAAAGCTCTGTTCTCATTATACCGTGAAGTGACTTCAGGTCAAATTAAAAATATTTTAACTATTTTCTCTTGTCTTTTACAGTTTCCAAAAAACTTTAGCTGGTATATGGAATAACTGATAGATTGGTATACATTAAGTTACACTTTTTACAGACCATACATTTCACGAAGCTTTCAGACTGCAGCAGAAACCTTTAAATGTGTGGATTTGTATCAACATACTAATTTTAATGTCTCCAAGGCACTTTATAGTCTTTTGTGATTTTTGTGAATGAATGACAAGAAAGTAAGAAGGAGGATGAGGGAGGAGGAAAAATAATGTAAAGTGTCTATTTTGGTACACTAGAATTGTAAACTTGGGGAAGCACCTGTAAGATGATAAAATAGTCACAGGTTTTTAGTGATCATATTTTTGTCATATCCTATGTGATTATTAGGGTTGGAGGTGGGAGTTCCAGAGTAGCTGTGTAAAGATTTTAGTAAACCCTCCTCCTTAGTGAAAAAACTGATGAAAATTAAAGAAACAACTCTTTAAATTCTCTAGAAAATGACCTAAGGGCATGTAGGAAATGGAGAAACAATTATTCAAGAAAATCTACTAAATCTAGGTAGGAAAAGACTGTAGCATTTGAGCCACAATCGGCTTCTAGCCAACACCTCCTCACCCCTGGAAGCCAAGGAGGACCTCCCTCCCCTACTAACTCCCAGTCTAGGGCTATGGTTTCATCCTAGGAGAGGCAGGATACTGACATCTCTCATTCTCGCACCCCTCATCTCACGCTATTATACTCTATGCCCAGAAGGCACTGCTGAGAAGACTGGAGCTTCCTTATCCCCACCCAGAGTTTACTGATAGGGTGAGGGCTCTGTCCAAGGCAGTCAATACTGGGACCTATTTCCCCTTTCCCCCACAAGAGGGGCAAGCTGAAGCCATGGTACCACTTCTCCCCAAAGCCACCCTCACGTCCCCTTTCTGTTCATGGATGGAGGTGTCACTCAGCTCCAGCAGTAGTGCATAGGTTCTGCTCAGGGGCAAAGGCAACACAAAATGAGCTGGCAGCATCTCAGCTGTGCCTGAGAAAATGGATTTCATTTGGAATAAAATGTGGAGAAATTTTTGAAAAAAAAAAAAAATTTTTGTTAGTGAACAATCAGAAGAATTACGTGGAACTAATGCAAAAGCACACGAAGACCAGAAGTAGGGAGAGATACAATTAGATGAACAACATGAGATCACACTCATCTCTGGCAGGGGGGTTGGGTGTGGAAGGGCTGTGCATATGCAGCAGACTGCTCTCACTCAGAGCAAGAGGAGTGGATATCTTCTGTTGCACCTATTCAAGATATCAGAATGGAGGTATGAGGATGCTTTTACTCAGAGCCATCAGAGCAGACACATTAGGCTGCCCCTATTAGAGTCATTAGAAAGGATGTACTAGGATACCCCTACTCAGAGCAATCAGAGAGCCAGGCTGTCTACCTAAAGAAGAGGGGATGTACTTAGCAGCCCCTACTCAGAGCAATCAGAATGGAGCTACTAGGATGCCCCGGTTAGGAGTTATCAGATTGTATGTCCCAAGCTGTCCCATACAGAGCAATCAGGATGTACTGGGATGTCTCTTATTAAAAGAATCAGAGGATGTTATACTAGGTTGCCCCTCTCTGAGCAATCAGACTGGATGTACTAGGCTGCTTCTCTGCAGAATAATCAGAGTGTACACACTAGGATGTCCTTACTCAGAGCATTCTTATTGGACGTACCAGGCTGCCACGACTACGGAGTAATCAGACTGAATGTAAAAGACTGCCCACTCAGAATAATTATAGTGGATGTATCAGACTGCTCCTATTTAGGAATAATCATACCAGATGTTCTAGGCTGCCCCTACCCGAACAATCATACCGGATGTACTAAGCTGCCCCTGCTCAGAAACAATGAGAGTGAATGTACTAGGCTATTTTAGAAGCATTCAATGCAAGATATGGGTTGGTGACTTACAAGCATTTTCCAAGCTGAATACAGATTAATCAACAAAGAGCTGAAGTCTTACTGGCTTAAGAGACTGAAATATAATCTCTGACACATAAAAATTCTGACCACTTTAAAATAAAATCATACTCTTTGCTGCTGTTCTGGAAGACTATCTATATGCCCATGACTGTTCCTTCTGAGGAGTGACTAGCTACAGAACTTCAAGCTAGCTGTCCCTGGCTAAGTGCAGGACAAAATCATAAAACTGCTGAATTGTGAAAACAGGCTGTAAGCCACACACAGATCCACCTGTAAAGGGTAAAATTTATCAGTTCGGGGGTCTGAAGCACAACTTGTGATCAGTAAACAGCTTATGCTGACCCTCCTATAGGGTAAAAGATAAAAACAAGGAAAAAAGTGATTCCGATAATATATGATCTATTTGCATTAATGTGATATCATGAGCGGTGAATGAACAACTCTTAAGAATAAGATTAAAGGGCACCTGGGTGGCTCAGTGGGTTAAGCCTCTGCCTTCAGCTCAGGTCATTGTCTCAGGGTCCTGGGATGAGTCCCGCATCAGGCTCTCTGCTCAGCAGGGAGCCTGCTTCCCCCCCTCTCTCTCTGCCTGCCTCTCCCTACTTGTGATCTCTCTCTCTGTCAAATAAATAAATAAAATTAAAAAAAAAAAGAATAAGATTAAAAATGTCAGCACAATTTCTCTCGGTGTAATTCTATTTGAAATAACATTATCCTCAAAAATACCTTAAAAGCAGCTTTCAGAAAACAATACATAGATCAGCCAGAGAAGTAAATTGGGATAAACTTTACTTTTTAGTGGTTCATTTAATGTAAAGGTGAAATGTTTGAAGGGCCACAAAATACTCCTATGATCAAGAAAATACCAATCTGCTTTTATAGTAATTATTTCTTGAGTTAGACATTTTCTACCTTAATGAATTATTCACTTGACCTTTTTATCCTGATTGTCTTCAAGTTTGAAAATGATTAGTTGGTATATAATTGCTCTAATGTATTAATATCATATTTCAACCCAGTGACTTTATAATTAATTTCTATTTCCTAATCACTATCAAGCAACGTTATATCTAATGAAGTAGCACTGAGTTCTAGATATATCAATGCCACCAAATTCAAAATGGCTATAAAAGGGAAATTGTACTTACAGATTTCCATGGAATTTTTTAGAAGCCTTGCTGGAAACAGTTATCTTTTTCTCAAAGGGGAATAAAAATCCAGAAATAAATTAGCTGTCAGATATGGAAAAAAAAGAAAAATAAAAACAAACAAAAAGTAAAAATACATTTTTTTGATTCATAAAAGAAAGTATTTTTAGAAGTCTTCATGAATCGCTTCTCATTAAAAAATAAACTCTTGAAACATATTTAACTTGTTTTCTTACTGAAGTCTTAACCACTTTCCAGCCTGATGTGTCTTGACTGTAGTCTAAAACTTCTTGAGCAGTTTCTTGGGCAAGTGCCTTATAGTCCATCTACCTGCAAAGTTGTAAAAACAGACAACTGGTAAGAATATAGCCATATAAAACAACTTTAAAATGTTGTATTACATTTTAGTACTATTTTTATAATATCTGTTACATTGTAATGAATGATACTTATTTTTAATAAGTTTTTACTTAATAATTGCTAAGTGTATGAATGAATTGCTTCTTCCCTAATCATAATCTTTCAAATGAGAAAATGTGGTATAGTACAAAGAGTAGGTTTTGGACTCAAGAAGACCAAGCTCAAGTCCTGTCTCTGCCACTAATTATGAACCGCATTACTTAATATTTCCATTTTTCCATTTTCTGGGACAATAACTGTAAAACTAATGTGAGGATTAAATGAGATAATGCATTTAAATGTCCTATCCCAATACCTGGCACATAATAGTTATTCAAGAAATCATTAATATTTCCAACAGCTTCATCATGCTTCTTTCCTCTTGTAAAGCATCATAATCTGTTAATCATGTGTTCTTCAGAATTAGTCTTTTAAAAGTGAGGGCAATGGCACTACATGATCTGACGTTTGGCTTCCACTCCAAAGGCAACTCGTCTTCTCTTCCACCTCAGCTCCAGTCATATTGATCTGGCTGTTCCTCAGACACAACCAAGTATCTTCCTACCTCAGGATCTTTGTACTTGCTGTTCCCTCTGCTTGTAACATTCTTCCCAAATATGAGATTCCTCTTCATTGGTATCTTTGTTTAAATGTCTCCTCTTCAGACAAGATCAAGTTCAAATCAATTCAATATGAACATATTTACAAAACTCTTTACTAGTGATTAGGAAGGTGTGGCAAAACAGTTGAGTAAGATACTATTCCTGTTCTGAATGAGTTCAGAAAACTGGAGTCTCATTGGTCCTTTGGTTCATTATCTAGTTTTCAGTTAGGGGAAGCTGGCTTGGATGGTGGAAGGAATGTGACAACACACAGCTGGATTCAAATCCTAACTTGGCCACTCACCACCAACTATATTATTTTGAACAGATTACTTAACCTTTGAACTTCAATTTTTATATGTATAGATTGGGGATAGTAATACCTACCTCATGGGGTCATCATAAGGATTAAGTGAGTTAATATATGCAAAAGTGATTGAAACAGTGTGGGACTCCTTGATAACCAGAAACATTAGTTTCTTTTCTTGAAATGACACATTTAAATCCAACTTTTAAAAAACTCTCCAGGGGCACCTGGGTGGCTCAGTGGGTTAAGCCTCTGCCTTCAGCTCAGGTCATGATCTCAGGGTCCTGGGATAGAGCCCTGCATCAGTCTCTCTGCTCAGCAGGGAGCCTGAGTCCCCCCACCTCTCTGCCCACTTGTGATCTCTGTCAAATAAATAAATAAAATCTTAAAAAATAAATAAATAAAATAAAAATAAAAAACTCTCCAAAGAGCTGCCTCAATAACTAAGTTTAATTATCAAAACAGTATTTTAATTAACTCTCACTTAAAGCTCTAGGTTGGATCATAAATCTACTTTCTCTTGTTCTCCAGCAAGGCATAACACCTACTTGACATCAGTATTTGAAAAGCTTTAGTAAACCATTACAACTCCTTTTTCCTAGTAAGACTTTAGGTTTCTTTACCTTTCCTAATAGATCTACTCCAGAATTTTAATAATTATCGGGACTCTTCTCCAAATCCTTGTGGAGATCTCCATATCTCTTAACCTGTGAAGGAGAAGGAACAAAGTAGAATTATTTTGATCCATGAATTAGGTCAATATATTTGATTACTTCCTTTACATTTTCTCAGTGTCTTTTATTTTTACTTTATATCCTCATTAGGAAACATTTGCTATATATGTCCATGATGAAAGAAAAAGATAGTAAGAGAAATGTTAATAATAGTGTTTATGAAAAGAACCTTTAAGAAATTATCTTAAAGAAGGACAGGTTAAAAAGACATCCAGGTGGAATGTAAATAAAGATGTCTAACTTTTTAAGCTCATGCCAGTAACAGTCCGGGCTAGTCCCTGACTTGTGCTTTTCCTAGCACATGTAACACAGTTCTTTATTTCCAATCTTGATATTGAGTGATCTAGAAAAGGCATCAATTATTGGCACATAGCACTAGACTATAAGCTCCTGCAGGGGCTTCTACTCATTTTCAAATCACTAGCACTTACTTGCACAATAAATGTGTTTAACTGAACCCCTTAACTGAATATTATACCTTGTGGACTTTTTCATTGGCTAAGAAAAAAAAAGAAAGGTTAAGTTTAGTAGGCTAGAGAGGGTGAGAAGAGAACAAAGAGCAAGACTACAGTTGCATTACCTGGTGATGTAACGTCGGATGAACTGGAACATATTCAGGTGGAGTAATGGTCAAGGATATCTTCACCCATAGGGTCAGTGGAAAATAAACATAAACCAATATTGAGACGGCATCTTTTTTTGATACACCACTTGGTTGAAACTGGATTCTTCGCACCTCATATCCTGTCCCAGCCTCGTAGATTCACACATGTTGTTACTGGGTCTTTACATCTGTTTGTATAATCTCCCTTTTTCTGGGCTGCCTGCCTGGGTCCCCAAATCCGTGCTGGGTCACTGCCATTCTTCCCTGGGAATCAAGGTCCCCAAGGAATTTGTTAAATCCCATCCCTGGCCAAATTCCCTCCTCCAATCCCGCATAGGCTGAGTGTGAGGGACCGGCTGCAAGCCCAGGAGCGCCGGGCTCAGGAATGGGATGTGGGAGGCAACTGAGGAAGGGGGTAAGGAAGTGGTCTGGGGAGCTACCCCTCCAACCCCAGCTGGAGATGGTGTCTTATCCTGGGAGGGGGTGCTCCGAAACCCGGAAGGCTGAGGTCAAAATGGCAGCCGCCAGAGCCCCTCAGTCTCCTTCCCCACCTCATCCCCTCACTCCCGGGGAGCGCGCGGAGGGAAGCTCAGCCTGTCGTCAGCGCTGAGTGGCCCTGAAGAGAGGTGACGGAGGTGGGGAGCGCGTGCGGGGGAGCGACAGGGATGCAGTCCGGAGACCCCGCCCCCCACCCGCACCCCCATCCAGAAAGATGAGGAGGGAGAAACTACACTTCCCAGCCTGGAGTGCTACCAAACGCCCCGCAGATCCCACTTTTCCTGGCGGCCTCCTCCCCTGGCCCAGCTGCCCCGGGCGCCGAGCGCCACGCATGCGCACCGCAAGCCAGCGCCATGTTGGATCAGTTTGAAAGTGAGCGCGGGCGTGGTGCTCTGTTGTGACGGCGGAGTAGGCTTCCAGCAAGCGGAGCCTGCGGCGGGGCGGTGTCCGGGTCGGGGATGCTTTGTCGCGTGTTCCGTACGGTAACAGGCGCGGACTTTTGGTGGAGAGTTGTGGACGTGTGCGTTTTTATCTCTTTTGGTCGGTGAGTTTGGCCCCAAAAGGGAGTGTATTTTCAAGAGGCTCCCCATCCCACAGCCCGTGGGAAAGGCTAGAATCAGGGTGGCGCGGAGGGGAGAGGAAGACGTCTCCTGAGGGAGAGCGCGATGGACGTTCCGGGTGGGAAGAAAACGCCTTTCTCGGGAAGTTCCCGAGCGGGGCATGGCCCCGGAACGAGACGGAGGGGACTTGACGTGGGCCTCTTGAGACTCTTGAGACTCCAGGCGTCTATTGAGGGCGGGGCGGGAGGGGAATTGGGCTTTACGCGGGGTCACCTCGGAAAAACTCCGTCCGCCCACGGGGGAGCTCACGGTTGCTGCCTAATAAATGGTTCTGAGTGGAAGTACCTAACTGAAGCCTGGTCTGTGACTGCCGGGGGTGCTGGAACCCCGAAGGGGGGGTGTTTCCTAGGAAAGGGCGGAAGGGTTGAACCCCAACGCGTCGGGTGGGGAGAGATGCTCTCGTGCGGGGGCGCCAGCGATTCTCGCTTCCCAGGCTCTAGAAGGCTTGTCGTTTTGCCGTAGAATAAACAAATGTTCGGTTTCAAAACAGAAATCACTGCGCTGTTGTTTCTAGGAAGGTGCTCGTTTCCGGTGAGCTGTACCCATTGTTTAACACTGAACATTTTGTTTTTGAATCAAAGGTAGTTGAAATTTTTTTGCCATACGTTTAGCATTTTATTCTTCGGAATGATGGATTTCCTTTTGGAGATAAGAACGGAAGTGTTTGCGGAAGTAATGGTAAGATACATGGATTTGCTTCCAAATCATCCTGTGGCGGAAGTGGGGAGAAGTGGCTGGATAGAAGTTGGGGTATGTTAGTAACTGTTTGAAGAAGGGTGATGGGTGTATGAGGTTTTATTAAACTCTTCGTTGTACTTCCGTATACTTTTGGAAGCTTTCCACAATAAAAATTGACTGTGGATTTTCTTTCTGCCTCCTGTGAATTAAAATAAATGTTATTACCCACTTACTGAGAACCAACATCTCAGCATTCCAGGAAATCAAAGAGGCTAAGTAACTGCTGTGTTCTGCTGCTGCTGCCCCGACTGCTGTCAGCTCTCTTGCAGAGGCAGATGCACGCTCTAAAGCTGAGGCAGGATGATGTTTTACTCTTTGAATGGAAAACTTTCAGTGTTTTAAAGTCAAATTTGATAGTTATTAAGACTCCATTAAAAGTTGTTATAACTTGGGGCACCTGGGTGGCTCAGTGGGTTAAAGCCTCTGCCTTCGGCTCAGGTCATGATCTCAGGGTCCTGGGATCGAGCCCCGCATCGGACTTTCTGCTCAGTGGGGAGCCTGCTTCCTCCTCTCTCTCTCTGTCTCTCTCTCTCTGCCTGCCTCTCTGCCTACATGTGATCTCTGTCTGTCAAATAAATAAATAAAATCTTAAAAAAAAAAAAGTTGTTATAACTTAAACGTTTATTCCTAAAATTATAGCCGAAAGTTAAAGGTAGTAACTTTAGAGCATTATAGGGTGTATTAAGTCCTAGACAATAATTTTTCGTTTTTAATACAGAAGATCCATTTCCACTGGTCTAATTTTTTAAAAGAATGTCACATCATGTACTGAAGCCTTGTTATCTTTTACTTTTTCAAATGTAGATACTATTAGTATCCTAAGGTAGGCAGGAATTCTCTCAATGTTAGTAATGGAAAACAATGAGAGGAATATGTTGTCAATTTCCAAATTATCTAAGTCTCTTTTGGAAGAAAGGGTGAATGTGTTTAACGTAAGTGGAAATGGTAAGAGTATTGCCATAAATGGTGAGACAATGATAACGTCTTAGGAAAAGAGCATTTCGCTAGCTCAATAAACTTGGTAGTTTATTTCTTTATACTAAATATTATAAATTATTTTGTTCTTGAGTTTTGCTGGGGGAAAGATTTGGCTAAAGTTACATATTGACATTTACAGCATTGAAAGTGAATATTCTTCTCTTGTTTCTAATACCTCATCTGATGCCTTTAAAAATTTATTGAGCACCTACTATCTGTAATGCATGATAGTAGGCTTATGAAATGAAAAATATTCTATATAAGGGAATGTTAGGTATTGTGATGTCATAGACTCTATCCCCATAAGAAAATACTGTACCTCAGAAGTTTTTAGGGCTTAAAAATTGTGAGTACTCTTCCCTTGGTACTATTCTCAGATAATTATGTATAAAAAATTCCAGGAACATAGTAGGTACTCAATAAATGTTTCTAAATCAATGATGAAGGAACTCACAATAATGACAATAATAGAAAATCTATAATGTTCATTGCCTTAAAAGGATGATAGAATGGATTTTATTCTTTATTTATTTATTTTTAAAGATTTTATTTATTTATTTGACAGAGATCACAAGTAGGCAGAGAGGCAGGCAGAGAGAGAGGGGGAAGCAGGCTCCCTGCTGAGCAGAGAGCCCGATGTGGGGCTCGATCCCAGGACCCTGGGATCATGACCTGAGCTGAAAGCAGAGGCTTTAACCCACTGAGCCACCCAGGCGCCCCTGGATTTTATTCTTTAAAGATTATAAAAAGTTGGGGCGCCTGGGTGGCTCAGTGGGTTGAGGCCTCTGCCTTCGGCTCGGGTCATGGTCTCGGGGTCCTGGGATCGAGCCCCGCATGGGGCTCTCTGCTCAGCAGGGAGCCTGCTTCCTCCTCTCTCCCTGCCTGCCTCTCTGCCTATTTGTGATCTCTATCAAATAAATAAAATCTTAAAAAAAAAAAAAAAAGATTATAAAAAGTTTACAGATTTAGTAATTTCTCTCTGTATGGCTGTTATTCCTTTTAATGGAACCTTAACCTATTGTTTTTGTATTACAGGTATTGAGAGAAATGAATAGAAATAACCCATTTTGAGGAAGCCATGGCAAAGTCAATTACAAAACACAGAGTTTGTTCTCGGCAATCTTCAGTATCTTCTCTGTTAGCAAGCTGCAGCCTGAGTGGTAGTAATTCCTCTAAATCTGATGGCTCTTTTCAGTATAAGGATAAACTGTATAGTTCTGCCTCTCAGGCTCTACAGGCCTATATTGATGATTTTGATTTAAGCCAAATGTATCCTGGTGCAAGCACTGGAAAGATTAACATTGATAGATGTTCTGCTAATATGCCCGAATTCTCCAACTATATTTATAAACCAAACAATGGTATGCTTTTATTTTTTATTTTATTTTATTTTTGTCCACTGATTTGAAGTATTTGAGAGATGTATTGTAGTCTTGAAAAGCTAGACACTTTTTTTCTTCCTTTGGGGTAAAAATGACTTTTATAATATTGAGGTCTGGATATTTTTCTTAAATGGTTCTTTAATTCTCTTGAGTCTCAGGAATTTTCAGCTAAAATCTTGTGACCTTGGAGGGAAGGTGATGAATATAACTAGTAACAGCTGGTGGTTGATCCTAAACCCTTAAGCTATTTTATTACAGCATAATGGAAACAGCATTGACATGGTGGTTCTAGGTTTCGTTAACTAGGTTAATGACTTTAAAAAACCTGTCTTTCTGAATTCATTCTTGATTAATCCCAATTAGTAAGACTCTATTAGTCTTCCTAGTCTGTATTCTGTGGGATAATATATAAGATGTTAAGAGTTTTACCTTGATAAGCCTTCCACAAAGACAAGTTTGGAAAATACATCTGTTGATAACCCAGGTAACACTTAAATAAGTACTTATGGAATGGCCCTTGTATGGAAAAAATTTGCATTCAACTCTTAGAAGTATGTGGGCACTATATTCCAGAAGAGTATTAGAGCAGCTATTCTCTTTGTGTTAATGCTGTTGCAAGTTTCGTAGGCAGAAAGCAAACTATTTTCCCACCTAGTTTAGTTCATATTTTTCTTCAAGGTTGCAGCCAATTTTAAGTGACCAATATTAATGTGAGTGTATTAGTACATCAGGTATGATGAGAAAAGTTGAAGAAACAGTAAGTTAAAGAACAAGGGAAAATTTAGGAGTTGGAGAGAAAAGTGTAGAACTTAGTTAAAGTAAATTAGAGAGATATAAAGAAAAAGCACATTGTATTTCATAACCTATATCTTTTATACTTTGAATCAAAGCTTTAGTGAAGATAAAGGGAAGCAGCAAAAATGATTCTTAAATTCTTAATTCTATTTACTCTTGAGTATTATGAAGTATCGTTATATGTAATGTAGGAAAATAAACAGAACTGTGTTTTGTTTTTCAGCTTTTGAAAATCTTGATCCCAAAAAAAGCTTCTCGTCCTTACCGTGTAGAAGAATGACTGTTAATGACATAGACTGCATTAGCCTAACAACTGATGATCTATTAAAACTTCCAGCAGATGGGTCATTTTCTTTAACTTGCATTGGATCAAGTCACCGAAATAGCAAGAAAAACAAGAAATGCATTCGAAGACTGAGCTCATTGGATACTGAAAAGAATCAAAATTTTCAAGAACCTTCCACTCCCATGTGCAAAGATAACTTAGTTACTCCTGTTGTACACATAAATAAAAATGGAAAGCAACGTGGTAGGCTAAAAAACCCAAACCTTGTGAATAAGACTAATAAGTACGTTTCTGATCCATCTTTATCATTTTCCAAGAAGTTGTCTTTCAAAGACAGTTCAGAACACAAACTTGAAAAGAATTACCCAAGATGGCTCACTAGCCAGAAATCTGACCTTAATGTTTCAGGAATAACTAGTCTACCTGATTTCACATACCCAGTCTGGCTCCACCATCAAGACTTGCTACCTGATACAAATAGTCAAAAAAGGATTTCTGAAATATTTAAAGAAGATCAGTGTTCCCCTAGACATAGTTACCAGGCACAAAGAACTTCTCGACTTATGAATAAATTAGATAGTTTTGAATATTCTTTTGAACCCTCAAACATTTCAGACTCCTTGAGTGCTGATAAAGGATTAGTTAATGAATATAAATGTGATTCCGAACATAGCCAGTGTCAGTGTGAGAATCCACTTCTCCCAGGACAAACCAAAAAGCCATTCAGTGGTAATTGTTTTGTTTTGTTTTGCTTTGTTTTTAAGAACCAAAGGAAGTGCTGTAAATGTCTAGGAGCTTTTATGCTATATTCTTGATATAATGATGAGATGATAAATCTTTTGAATACTTATGGTCGTCTTTTGTGTAGCATTTTGTGCCTAGGAAATGTCTTTTCTCCCCTTTTCTTTGAAATGTCATATTAAAAAAGTTTATTGTTACAGTTATGTGTATATTCCAAATTAGTCTGAATTCTTATTTGTTGCCTTTGAGATTTTGCTGGGCTTTCTATTTGTTTTTTTCTCTTAAATTAATTTAATCTTTTAAATTAGGTGACAAAATTGAATTGCTTATCCTGAAGGCCAAGAGAAATCTAGAGCATTGTACTAAAGAGTTACCGAAGTCTACAAAAAAGGATGATAGTCCTTGTTCATTAGATAAACTTGAAGCAGAAAGATCATGGGAAAATATTCCTGTTACTTTGTACGTAAGTTACGATGAAGAAACTTCTTAGTTTTCCAAATGAAAAATGTCATGTGAACAGCTTATTTATATTTTTTAAATAAATGAATGATAATTAACAACAATAATGAATGTTAATTTTATAGAACATTGCTTTGTGTTTTCTTTAAATTGCATTTTTCAGTTGTTACCACAAGATGGTGTAATGTTTCATAACCTTAGGCATATAACTTGTCTTTGTTACATGTTTCTTGTGTTGCACTATAAAATAGTGATTTATGTTTAATATGAAGAATCATAGCCAATAAGTTCTTTCTCCTTCTATATTCTCTCCATATGTGGAGTTACGCAGCTATCCACTTCTTTTCATTTACCTTTTACTTTTGCTTAGTTATTTTCCTTAAACAGTGGTGCAATTTTTGTATGGTCTGTGTTATAAATTTTTGTAGTTTCTAAGATTATTTTCATTTGTATGCTTAACCTTCCTGTGACATAGCTTCTCAGTGTAATTTAAGCAGTGTTTACCTAGATACCTACGAGTGTGAGTGTGGAGTGAGAATTGAGCTTAGGTAGGAGAGTTTTTTCCCTAGTAATATTTTTACATCTGAACTCATCAGAAATGCATTCTTGGTAACCCTGTATCCTGCCTTAGGCTCTGAAAATTTATCATCTTCTGTTGTCTAAACTTTTATTCTTTTATAGTCTGTTATAGACAGAGTCTATTAATTCCTATATCCATTTTTTTATCACTTCTCAGGACGTCTTATTTTTTTTTGAATGTGGACACTGAGTATAAATCTGGTTTGGAATCCCAGCTCTGTGACTTCTTTGCTAACATCTTGTATAAGTTATACTTCTGCTTTTAACAAATTACTACTGCTTTGTACAAATTCTACTTTGTACAAGTTACTTCTACTTTGTATAAGACCTTATATAAATTATTTTTCTATTTGGGGTTGCTATGAGAATTTGTTTGATTAGAAAATATATATAAGGTACTTGGGCACCTGGGTGGCTCAGTGGGTTAAAGCCTCTGCCTTCGGCTCAGGTCATGGTCCCAGGGTCCTGGGATCGAAGCCCGCATCAGGCTCTCTGCTCGGCGGGGAGCCTGCTTCCTCCTCCCTCTCTCTGACTGCCTCTCTGCCTACTTGTGATCTCTCTGTCAAATAAATAAATAAAATCTTTAAAAAAAAAAAAAAAAAGAAAGAAAATATACATAAGGTACTTAAGACAATTTTTTTTAAAAGATTTTATTTATTTGACAGAGACACAGTGAGGGAGGGAACACAAGCTGGGGGAGTGGGAGGAGAAGCAGGCTTCCCGCTGAGCAGGGAGCCTAATACAGGGCTCAAACCCAGGACCCTGGGTTCATGACCTGAGCCGAAGGCAGACGCCTAACAACTGAGCCACCCAGGCGCTCCTGCTTAAGACAATTTCTGACTTATGATAAGCTTTCTTGTAGTTGTTAATAGTGGTGATGATTATCCAGAATATTTTTTTCCATATTTTGCTTCATTTCTCAATTGTTGGTTCAATAGTATCTTTATGTTTTAAAACTTGGGATAATAACTAGCTCACTTAATTCTTTTTTTTTTTTTTAAGATTTTATTTATTTATTTGACAGAGATCCCAAGTAGGCGGAGAGGCAGGCAGAGAGAGAGGAGGAAGCAGGCTCCCCGCCGAGCAGAGAGCCCGATGCGGGGCTCGATCCCAGAACCCTGGGATCATGACCCGAGCCGAAGGCAGAGGCTTTAACCCACTGAGCCACCCAGGCGCCCCATAGCTCACTTAATTCTTAAACTTATTTTCTAATTTCTTACTTTCTCGTGAGGTCGCCTTTGTAAAGTACTATAACTGTAATACTTTGCTTTCACTTGCACTCAAAATGGGTGAGCACACAGTATCAGAGGTATTTAAGAGTAAAATTTTGGAATGTGTGTAGTGTATTATATAATTAGATAATATAATTTATGCTTGTATGATTATTATTACAATCATTGGTTTGGTCCAGTACTTTATGTATAGATGTTGACTTTTGGAAGATTGAATTCATATTGTGATGGATATGTTTGTACATAAAATGAATGAAGGATTGTGAGGAGAAGGAATAGACCTGCCCTCAGTCAAGTGTGATGTTGACAACTTATTGTCAATCTATCATCAAAACAAAAATTGTCTAGGAAGTATTCAAGGTAGTATACCAGAAGGTAGAACATAACCACAATCAGATAATTACTTTGTTTATTTAACATTTTTATAATGAAAAATTTCAAAAAAATACAGAAGTAGAAGAATAGTATAGTGAATCCCTATGTACCCCACACTCATTTTCAGTAATCTGGTAAATGCTTTTTGATGGTACTGGATGGATGTGCAAACTCCTATCGTAAAGGATGGGCAAAAGGATTACTTAGGAGCAAGAAAAGCTCATAGTAAGTTACAAAACAAATGAGCCAATAATGAAGTACTGTTAATTATTAAGAAAAAAATGGAATTGTGACATTTAAATGTTAGAGAAGGATTCTTAGGTATCTGAGCACTTGAGTTAGAAACACTTTTTTTTTCTTTTTTTAAGAGTATTTATTTATTTATTTATTTATTTGTCAGAGAGTGCAAACAATCCCGCACACACGAGCAGGGGGAACAGGGGAGCGGTGAGCAGAGAGAAGCGGGCTCCCTGTTGCGCAAGGAGCCCGATGTGGGACTCCATTCCAGGACCTTGGGATCATGACATAAGCCAAAGGCAGACGTTTAACTGACTGAGCCACCCAGGCATTCCTAGAAACATAGTTTATATTGATATATATATTGAGTGAATAAGAGAGAGAATGAGTTTATTTATTCTCCATGACTAATAGAATTTGTTTTGGGAAAATTCTGACTTTTGCTGAGGTTACCCTTTGTTCTACTATCCCTTGAAACATCAAGAAATAAACATATTTATTGAGCATTTATTACATGTTCCAGGTACATAGAGTTAATTTATGCAATACTTCTGTAAGATAAGTGGGACTATAAATATAAAACTGAAATTTAGATAAATTATATGTAATCACATAGTGGGATTGGGATTTGAACTCTGGAATTTTAATTTCAAAATTAATGTTTTTCCCACAGTAATTTGTCCTCTTTGTAAATGCTAGTTCTGGAGGGTGAGTCCTATTTCTTTGACATGGAAGAGCATGTAACTGCCATTCCAGTAGAAACTCATATATTTGTGGGGGTTTTTACTATCATTGGGTAACTAACTGTGTTTATTTAGGAAAGTGTTCTGCTTATTTTGAACAAACCAGCTTTTAGAGTATAGCCTATAGTTGAAGGTTTATTTATTTAAAGACTAATGTTTTTACTTTCTTCATAGTTTTAACTTAAAGCTTTAAAGGAGAAACAGGGAGATAGGAAGGGTTAGATTCTGGTATGAGTTCAGAGAGAAGATGAGGGAATTACCAAGCAAAATCAATATGAATCATATCTATAATGGTTGTTTCTTGGTGACTATTTCTGTTTAAATGATAACCATTCAGTTATACATGAATTTTATAAATTGGGTACTTAATTAAATTACTATCTTATATCCTTAAATCCTATTTAGCAAATCTCCTGTTCCTGTTAACTCTGATGATAGTCCTCAACAAACTTCAAGGGCAAAGTGTGCTAAAGGGTTCCTTGATGATTTTTTAAATAATGATAATCAGGTGGGTGAAGTTAAATCTTTTTAACTTATTAAAAGTTTTTTTAACTTATTAAAAGAGGATTTATGACTAATATACAAATTTTAATTTCTAAGGTGTTAAAAAACAAAAAATGATTCAAATTTCCTTTTTCTTTTTTTAAGATTTATATATTTTATTTGAGAGAGAGAGACAGAGAGGGTATAAGCTGGGGGAGAGGCAGAGGGAGAGGGAGAAGCAGACTCCCTGCTGAGCTGGGAGCCTGAAGTAAGGCTCCATCCCAGGACTTAGAGATCATGACCTGAGCCAAAGGCAGACGCTTAATCATCTGAGCCACCCAGGCACCCAAATTCCCTCTTTTTTAACACAAATACATAAAACCATCGCTCCTAGAATTATTGATAATTTTGTTTTAATATTCTAAAGTAGAGGGACCTGGGACTGAACTCTACAGAGAGCTTAAATTATCATGGAGAGCTTAAATTATCATGTGTTTTGGGGGGGGGCGGCAATATATAAAGCGTATCATTGTAGAGTAAGTTATATTTTCCCATACAATTGTTAATTATTGAGAGTTCTGTTTCTAAGAAAATATGATAAATCTATCATGATAAAATTTAAAATAGGAAAATTATTATCCAATTTTGCAAAATCAGCATTTGTGCATCTTGTAAGTAACCCCAAAATAAAGTATAAATGTGTATATGTGCACATAAGAAATTACATATCATTTGACAGAAACATAGCCATGGCTGTTAAATATTGAAATCATACTTTTGGAGTCTTAAAATATGGAAGACTTGAGAGGTTAAGTACTCAAAAGTTAGCCAAAAAATGTAATAAAATGAACTCCTTCTGTGGAATTCACAAGAGAAAGTAGAGGCTGTCGTAATATGTTTGACCCTAGAACTTTGTGTAAGATATTATAGCAGATATTGGGTAAGTTAAGCTTAATTATCAAGTATTTATTTGGCAGATATTTGAGTACTAAGCACTTTTTTAGGAGCTGTATCCCTAGTAGTGAAAAAGAGGAAATCCTTGTGTCTTGGATTTTTTATTCCAATTAGAAAAACTAAACAAAAATATAATATGTGATATATAAGGGAGTACTGTAAGTGTTGTGAAGAAAAATTAGTTCGGATAGGAAAATGAGGGTATAATTTTAGCTAGGGTTGGTCAGGGATGACCTCTAATGAGGTGATACTTGAGCAAAAATCTAAAATGAGTGAATAAGCCAAATACACATGGGGGAAATATCTTTGCATGTAGAGGTAATAAGTGCAGAAACCCCAAGGTAGAATTGCATTTGGCATGTTCGAGGAATATTAGAGTCCAATAGGGTAGCTCAATCAGAATGAACAAGGGAAGGGATGGTAAGAGATAAGGTGGAGAGGTAATCAGGAACCAGATTATGTAGGGTCTTATAAGTGATGAAATAAAGATTTTATGTTTTATTTAGGTGAGATGAGAAGTCACTGGAGGGTTTTGAGTGGAGGAATGAAATGATCAGATCTACATTTTAAAATATAAAATGGCAGCTGTATGGAGTACAGAGAAGGAGCTTGTAAAAGAGCAGGGAACCCAGTTAGGAAACTTGTAATCTTTCTGGATAGGATTGGCTTAGGGTGGGTGTATTGAAGGTAGTCAGAAATGGGCAGACTTGGCATCTGTCCCCATCCTACTAGGGGACAGATGGGGACAGGGTTCAAAGAATGAATCCAAGGTATTTGAGTCAAGCGGCTAAAAGATTGGGTAGTGGCATTTACTTAGGTAAAGAGCACTGGTAGAGGAACAAATTTGCAGTTCTTTTAAGTTTGAGATGGATGAGTGTTAAATACTAACCAACTGGTCCCTTTTCCCCTGCCACTACACGCATAATCTCACTGCCAGGTTGTTTTTATTTCATTTTTAATAATTTTAGATGTACAGAAAGTTCTTATCACCCTTCTTTCAGCTTCCCTAATGTTATCTCACATGCCATACTATAATCACAAACAAGGAATTAAGATAGGTACAATTCTATTAACTAAACTACAGACCTTACTCTGATTTCACTAGTTTTTCTACTAATGCCCTGTTCCAAGGTCCAACATTGTATTTAGTTGTTATGTCTCTTTAATCTATTTCAGTCTGTGACAATTCCTCAGTCTGTCCTTGTCTGTCATGACCTTGACAGTTTTTAAGAGTACTAACTAGTTGGTTATTTTGTAAATAGTTCCTCAGGTTGGATTTGTCTGAAGTTTTTTCATGATTAGAATGAGGTTATGGTTTTGGCAAGAATGCAACAGAAATTATGCTATGCCCTTCTCAGTACATCATACCAGAGGGTTCACGATACATTGATATCATTGATTTACTGATAACGTGTCTTAGTCAGGCTACTGTAATAAATATGCCATAGACCTGGTGGCTTAAACAACATTTATTTCTCAGTTCTGGAGGCTGAGAAGTCCAGCATCAAGGTGTCTGGTGAGGTCCTGCTTCCTAGTTTGCAGATGGCCATCTTCTCCATATGCTCTCCCACAGGCAGAGAACAGGGACGAAACAAGCTCTCTTGTGTTTCTTCTTATGAGAGCACTAATTGCATTCATGAGGACTCCACCCTTGTGACCTAATTACCTCACAAAAGTCCTTTTTCCAGATACCATCACATTGGGATTAGGCTTCAACATCAGAATTTTAGGGGGACACACATTCAGTCCACAGCAATGTGTTAATGTAATAATATATGAAATTATGTTAATACTTGTGATTTTAACCTTGAACACTTGGTGTTTACTGGCCCTCTCTCTAGTAAAATTATAGTTTCTCCGTGTAATTAATAAATATGGGGAGATACTTTGACACTGTGCAAGGAGTCTCAAAACTTCACTCACTAATTTTAGCATCCATTGGTGGATCTTCTTTTCTTTTAATTGAAATTCTTCTAGAATGAAGACCTGTTCCCTTTTTTTTCCCCATATATTAATTAAATTATTTGTATTGGTAGGGACTCATAAATAGATAATTATTCGAAGTTTTTAATACAATATTGTTATTTTGTTGCTCAAATTGTTCCAGGTTTGGCCATAAGGAGTTCCTTAGTCCCTTCAGGATGGCCCCTGTGTCCTTTTGAGCACTTCTCTGTGGGGCCATGGTGGTTTTTTTGTTTTTTGTTTTTTTTTAAATTGGAAAATGGCAGTTAGAAACTAAGATCTGGGCACTAGTTGTGCTTATTGCTGCTGGGATGTTATTCATTCTAGACTTTCTCAGCAGGCACATCTGAAACATGTATGTTTACTAATCCAGACATGCACATCTGTATTTCTATATCTGTATATTTTATATGTATGTATAAAATCATGGATGCATACTGATACCTCTGACTCCAGTCCAGTTCTACAGGGTTTGTTTTAGCCTTTCTTGTTCCTTATTTGTAATTCTTTCCACTGGTGAGAATCCCATCTATTATCCGTAATCCCTTAACTATTCATGTATTCTTAGCATACACCTACTTTGACAATAGTTACTCCATATACTTATAAGAAACAATTTACTAACTAGATCACATTATTTATGTATAGTTTTTTTTATCTTAGCCTTAATATATCCAGTCAAAGTATTGCTTTCCAAATTTACCTTGGTTAATTATTTTCTTCCCAACCCATTACACTGTGGTCATGTTGTTCAATTGTAGTACTGTTAGGTGGTTCACTTTTATTGTATATATTGAGTTTAAACCACATTGTATTTGGTTTAAATTATTTGGTTATTAGAATATGTGAAACATTACTATAGTTCTGAGAGAGCTATACAAAAAGCTATACAAAAAGCTATTTAAGACATTCACTACCAGGTTTTAATGATGATTCTCAGGACAAATTTTTTTTTTTTTTAATTTATTTATTTGACAGAGATCACAAGTAGGCAGAGAGGCAGGCAGAGAGAGCAGGCCAAGCAGAGAGCCCGATGCGAATCTCGATCCCAGGACTCTGGGATCATGACCTGAGCGGAAGGCAGAGGCTTTAACCCACTGAGCCACCCAGGCGCCCCTCAGGACAAATTCTATCAGACATAGCAACATTTATTAAATATTCATTAGTGAATAGTACAGTTCTATAATCTGTTTCATTGTTTTCTTTTTTGGAACTCTGATCACTAGTTTGCATGAAAAACTCACTCCAGAGGCAAGCTTTTGTAACCCTTACGGTTGGCATCAGACAGCCAGAAATTCTTCTAAGTCACTGCTAGATGGAGGTAATTTAGAGACGATGCTTCAGGTGGTATCCACAAGAGTCAGAATCAGGAGTATAAGATTAATTGGATCCTTTTTTGTTGTTGTTTTTTAAAGATTTATTTTTATTTGAGGAGGAAAGAGATAGAGGTAGGGAAGGTCAGAGGGAGAAGGAAGGATGAGAATCCCAAGCAGACTTCCTGACACAGGGCTCAATCCCATGACCCAGAGATCATGACCTGAGCCAAAACCAAGAGTGTGATGCTCAACCAACTGAGCGACCAAGGTGCCCCAAGGCTTGTTGGATCTTTAAGCCCCATTTATTTTCCTTTATTTTAAAAATTTTGGTGAAATATGTATAGCATAATATTGAAGATATATGTAATATGTACTCTGGAAGATTTGTAAAAATATTTGGTAAGAAGACTTTAAAAAAGAAGTTTAAAAATATCCCTTATAGATGCTCTTAAAAGAATCCTGACCTGTAGTCCTGTTGCCCTCCTTGGACACAGATAAGATCAGTGATAATTGAGATATGAGTGTCTTTTAGGTAGCAAGGAATGTGTGGTCAATGAATAGGTGATAAAATAGCATTCTTTGTGTGAAAACATAAAATTGTTTATAGAATGCTGTATTTGAAATTCTAGTCCTCATTCCGCTGATAACCAGCTTCATTTACATACCCAAAAAGCATGTTGACCTATCTGAGCTCTGAAGATCTTTCATTTCTAAAAATCTATGATTTTAAATGTATGAATGAATGCATTGCAAATGTGAAGGTGTACTGTTTCTTTGAAAAGAGCAGAGACTAGAAAGAATATTGCCAAACTTTAATAATGGTTGTCTGTAAGTAACTCATCTGGGGATTGGGTAAGGGGAGGTGTTGAGTTATAATTTTGATTTTTTCCAAAATATGTTATTGACTTTTATTGTTTGTTTTTTTGCACTAATTTTATATTGGGGGAAAATAATACAAAATATGACTTTTTCCTCCCTGAACTGCTTGGTTCATCATTCATCTATTTTAATCTCAGAGCTGTACCCTTTCTGGAGGGAAACATCATGGTCCTGTTGAAGCCCTGAAACAAATGTTATTTAATCTTCAAGCAGTACAAGAAAGTTTTAATCAGAATAAAACAGCAGAACTGGAAGAGGAGATTAAGCAAGTAAGTACAAACTTGATTTATGAATTGAGACCTGTGAATGTGAATTGAGATCTATGAAGATATGATTTCATTCTAGATCTTTTTCAGCTTGACCACTATAGTTTTTTGTGTTTTTTTTGTTTTTTTTTTTTAAGATTTTATTTATTTATTTGACAGACAGAGATCACATGTAGGCAGAGAGGCAGGCAGAGAGAGAAAGAGAGAGAGAGAGGAGGAAGCAGGCTCTCCACTGAGCAGAGAGCCCGATGCGGGGCTCGATCCCAGGACCCTGAGATCATGACCTGAGCTGAAGGCAGAGGCTTTAACCCACTGAGCCACCCAGGTGCCCCTTGACCACTATAGTTTTATGTTAATAAACATAACACATAACACATGTTGTAGAGTTGTGCTATTATTTTTTCAGAAATTAACTCACTCAAATTAATACTAATAGATTTCTGTAGTTGTGTGTAACCCTAAATGGATTGTTCTGTTTAGTTCATGATTGGTTATAAATACAGCATCTTATTTAGATCTAACAGTGTTACAACTGTAGTATGGGAGAATTAGAGAAGTTGTTTTTTAACATTCGACAAAATTATCTGTATAATCCAACTCTTTGTATTTATATTTGGGGAGGCCTAGAAAACCTTTTCATCTTTAGACTTCTCCATGTAACTTTTTTGTTGTCTGAAATTTTGTTTTGTTACCATGAGTTTGGCTCTTCTTATAGTTGATGTAAAATTTTATCATTTAAAACCATTGGGTTTTTGTGTATTTTCTAGGAACTTAGAAATTCTTTGTGCTTTGGACTGCTGTTCTGTAGGGATTGAATTTTCTTCACAATAGTACAGTGTTTACAGAGGGTTTATATTCTCCCAAATCTGATTGTGAATTCTAATTCTACCACTTAACTAGCAAGTGCAGTATTTGTACAGATCACTTAACCTTTTTTTTTTTTTTTAAAGATTTTATTTATTCATTTGACAGGTAGAAATCACAAGTAGGCAGAAAGATAGGCAGAGAGAGAGGAGGAAGCAGGCTCCCTGCTGAGCAGAGAGCCCGATGCAGGGCTCGATCCCAGGACTCTGGGATCATGACCTGAGCCGAAGGCAGAGGCTTTAACCCACTGAGCCACCCAGGCGCCCCGATCACTTAACCTTTTTAGTTTCTGCTTCCTCTTCTGTAAAATGAGGTTGAGAAGATAAATTGAGATAAACTATGTGAAGTACTTATTATATAGTACTTGGCACCTGATTAAAAAATAGCTGGTATATACTTAATAAATATTTTTATTGTCACTGTTTTGTTATTCATTAGCGCTTTATGAAATTCAGTTTTAATTACAAATGAATGGATCAGCTCTGGGAAACTGTCACACCCTGAATTGTATTAACTTAAGTTTTGTCTATATATTTAATTGATTAACAAATAGAGTGTATTCCATCCTTTTTTAGACATCATTGAGATGTAACCTTGTTCTTACAGTTATAATTTCAAGTCAAGGTTTTATTTTTATTGGACATACATTTAAAAGCATACTTGAAAGATGAATCCTAAATAGTAGTTACTTTTTAGAATCAAGAGAAAATATTTATTTATTTTTTAAAACATTTTATTTAGGGGGGCGCCTGGGTGGCTCAGTCCTTAGGCATCTGCCTTCGGCTCCAGTCATGATCTCAGGGTCCTGGGATCGAGCCCTGCATGGGGCTTCCTGCTCAGCAGGAAGCCTGCTTTCCCTCTCCCACTCCCCCTGCTTCTGTTCCTCTCTATGTCTCTCTCTGTCAAATAAATAAATAAAATCTTTTAAAAAAAATTTTTATTTAGGGGCGCCTGGGTGGCTCAATCATTGAGCATCTGCCTTCAGCTCAGGTCATGATCCCAGGGTCCTGGGTTGAGCCCCACATTGGGCTCCCTGCTCAGCGGCAAGCCTGCTTCTCCCTCTCTCACTCCCCTTGCTTGTGTTCCCTCTCTCACTGTCCCTCTCTCTGTCAAATAAATAAAATCTTTAAAAATAAATAAAAGGTTTTATTAATTTATTAGAAAGACCACAAGCAGGGAAGGGGGAGAGTGGGGAGAGGGAGAAGCAAGCTCCCCACTGAGCAGGGAACCCAACATGGGACTTGATCTTAGGACCCTGTCATCATGACCTGAGCCAGAGGTGAATGCTTAACCAACTGAGCCACCCAGGCACCCCTAGAATAAAGAGAAAATAGGTAATGCTTCATTGAAAATTACTTGCTAGAATTATTTCCTTGGAAATACAGACAATATTTTTTATTGTTTTTATTCACATATTAAATGGTATTTAAGTTTATAGTTACATAATATTTTCAATATCTCGTTATATTTGGTGTTTTTATAGGTTTCGGAAGATAATTTCTCTAAATTACAGTTGAAAGAAAGTATGCTTCCTATTACTAGGTCACTTCAAAAGTAAGTATTCTCTACTACTTTCTGAATATACTATGGATACATATCGGTTTTATCCATTTCTCTGCAATCAGAAGATGATAGGAGGAATGAAATAGTCTTAGGAATAGATACACTTGGTATATTTAAGCTTCATGGAACATTGTTTAATCCTGAAGTTTTGTCTTAAACTTGCACTATTTTCTATTAAAATGTTCTTAGGACCTAATGACATAACCTTAGACACCTAAGTATAATGGATGTGAGTGGCTTAGAGAGATTCTCTTTTCATTTTGGACTAATAGCAACAATTTGAGATAGTATTGGTATGAATATCATGGAAGAACAATTTGTTCATGAAATGTGTTTTTATATATTCCCTCTAGAATAAATATAATAATCATAAATGTATCATTATTTGACATATCTCCACAGAGACTTAAAGTGAACATAATGTCCTGGATATAAAAGTAGGTCTAAATGCCAGAAAGGTGTTAATCAACTACTTTCTTAGTTAAATTATCTTAAGTAAAATGGGGAGATGAATACAAATGTTTACTTTGGTTGAGGTATTTATTGGCAGAGGGAATGGTCTTTATTTGTGTGTTTGGTTGAGTGAGTATGAAATACACTCAGAAGATGGAATATTGAACTTTAGGACATGCTGAGATTGAAATTTTTACTTTAGTAATATCTTTCACTTGGCCATAGATGGGGCTAAACAAATATTATCTACCTTTTGTCCTTTCAGATTTTGCTGAGGATTTGGTTTCTAAGGAAGTGGTGGGAAAGTGAAACACTAGACATGTGAACTTAGGACTCTAATTGCCATGATGTGTGTGTGTGTGTATATACACTCACATATTTTTTTGTTTCTATAGTTTAAAAACACATGTATGTATTATTTTCCCCCCCTCTACTTATAGCCTTCTGGGTAGAAATAATGCCTCTTTCTTTATAGCTTGCCATAGTACTTGGGTATAGTGTTCCTATCTAGTAAGAATCAGTGAATAATGATACTAACATTTATTGAACCTTTGCCAAGTGTCAGTGTCAGTGCTTCTGAATGTGATTCATGTGATCTTTACAACCCTATGAGGTTAAGTGCTATCATTATTTTCATAACTCAGTTCAGGTAATAAAGATCAAGTAATAAAGTAACTGTCCGGGGCGCCTGGGTGGCTCAGTGGGTTAAGCCGCTGCTTCGGCTCAGGTCATGATCTCAGGGTCCTGGGATCGAGCCCCGCATCAGGCTCTCTGCTCGGCAAGGAGCCTGCTTCCTCCTCTCTCTCTGCCTGCCTCTCTGCCTGCTTGTGATCTCTGTCTGTCAAATAAATAAATTTTAAAAAAAAATTATTTTTAAAAATAAATAAAGTAACTGTCCAAGGTCACATAGCTAGTAAGAGGTAGCAGTGGGATTCAAACCAAATAGTCTGAGTCTATAGCATGTGTTCCTAACGCTCCTTTTATTAATGATAGTGGTACATTATCCATTTAGGCTAGTGCAGGGTCTCAACTGATTATTTAGGATAAAGATCTCATTGTGCTTTAAAATTTAAACTTAGTGGATGACCTCAGGCTTTCCATGTCTCTTAAAAGCATTTCTTTCTTTATTTAAACACTTTTTAAAAGGATTTTATTTATTTATTAGAGAGAGAGAGAGCAGAGAAAACATAAAGAGAGCACAAGCAGGGGGGAGGGACAGAGGGAGAGGGAGAAGCAGACTCCCCACTGAGCAGGGAACCACCATCCCAGGATCCTGGGGTCATAACCTGAGCCAAAGGCAGCCGCTTAACCTTAACCGCTTAACTGGCTGAGCCACCCAGGCGCCCCTCTTAAAAGCATTTATATTGAATTTGTGTCACAGACTTGAATGTGTTTTCTGAGCCTGGAAGATGTTTTTCTTGGTGAAGATGTTGAATGTTTTTCATAGCCTGGAAGATGTTTTTCTTGGTGGAGATGAACACTGGGCCATAAGTAATTAAATGGCCATAAAAATTGATATTAATTGTAGATACTTTCACTATTAGCTAAAATAAATTTTTTTTAAAGATTTTATTTATTTGTTTGACAGAGGGAGACACAGAGAGAGAGAGAACACAAGCAGGGGGAGTGAGAGAGGGAGAAGCAGGTTTCCCATTGAGCAGGAAGCCCAATGCAAGGCTCCACCCCAGGACCCTGGGATCTTGACCTGAGCTGAAGACAGGCTTAATGACTGAGCCACATAGGCACCCCAGAATTTTTTTTAAGATTTTATTTATTTATTTGACAGAGAGAGTGAGATCACAAGTAGGCAGAGAAAGAGGGGGAAGCAGGCTCCCTGCTGAGCAGAGTGCCCAATGTGGAGCTCGATCTCAGGACCCTGAGATCAGGACCTAAGCTGAAGGCAGAGGCTTAACCCTCTGAGCCACTCAGGCACCCCCACCCCCGCAGAATTTTTTTTAATAGTAGTAACTTTTGGAGCAGTACTAACAGGAAACCACATGCAAGATATCAGTGAGTAAGTTGAAATATAGTTAAATTGCCTTCATATAATCAGTCCATTACTGAATTTCTGTGGGTTGATTTCTGCTTATTCTAATGCCCATTGATAGATACTTTCTCACAATAAGACATGAGTTTTTTTATTTCAGCTTTTAAGTTGAATGACCATTCAGTGTTGTATGTAACATGACTCTTAAATTGATATTTTCCCCATTAACTTGCTTTTTCACTTTTTTAGAGAAGAAACTCAAGAATAACTTCCTTCTGTAATTTTATTCTGCACTTGTCCCTACACATAATAGCAAATCACTTCTGATAGCCTGTTGTCTAAGTAGATTGATTACCTTATTCTTAGCAGGGCAGATAGAGGTTAAATCAGAGGAACTGCTAACTGATTGTGTAGGGGGACTGAAGGTTTCACATTTCTACATAGCTTTTTTTTTTTTTTTTTTCATTCTCATCATACTCTACACTCTTCCCTTTCCTTCCCATTGTTCTTCTTTCTCCCTAGCATTGTTTTTTAAAGACATAAATAATGCATTTAATTAAGATATTTAAAATATAGGTAAGTTAAAATTCATTTTGTAAAAACCTATTAGTATGAGGGCCTTTTATATCACTTGAATAAAAGTGTTAAACCATGCTGTGGTCTTTTATTTACCTTTCACATGTTGATCAGCAAACAGAGTAAGGGAATATTGGAAAGGATCAATCTCAGGGTCACCAGGAAGACTTCACTCTTCAGTGGATGAACAATAAGTCTCAGAGTTGTCTAATAGTTGGCCAGTTATGTCATAAAAACTTTTGGACTGTAGGGAGACAGACTTAGAATATATATGTTTTAACAATTGGGTTAATAATCAATGTAATTTTATAACTATTATATATGACTATTGTAATTTTTAAGTAGTGGTAAATATAAAAGGTATTTTGAGATACCTGCAGTGACTACAATGTGATAAAAAATACCTCTGATTTCTGTGGCAGATGAGGTCACAGATTTTGGTCTGTTGCTTACATTCAAAATGGAAGGAAATGCTAATTTACAGATAGCATTTAGTGAAAATAAAGATGAGATTCCCCCCCCATCCAATTTCATAAACCCTCTAAATCCAAGGGGTTTGTGGCCCTCAGAGTTGTAAACAGTAAGATAAGACTCTAGCTGCTTACCCCTCCCTCCCTCTCACGCTTCCTTCCTTCCTTTTTTTATGATTTTATTTTTAAGCAATCTCTACACCCAGTGTGGGGATTGGACTCATAGCCCTGAGATCAAGAGTCTCACACTCCACTGACTGAGTCAACTTGATGCCCCTTCTTCTTTTGAATCACAGGTTGCTAAATGATATGCCTGAAAAGAAAAAGGTAGATCTAAGTCCAAAGTATATTCACGCGTTATCTTCTTTCTGATAAATATATGTCTCTAGGAAGAAAATAATTTTTGAAAAAGAGATATTACTATAGGCTATAGAAATGATAGAGTCTAATTAATTTTACCTCTGACTGCATAATAACTTTGGGTAATTTGTTGTCATTTAGTTAATGAAGATGAGAATTTCAAAACTTAACTGAAGTTAAGGGTGGCAAAATCCAGATTTTTTTTAAAAGATTTTATTTATTTATTTGACAGACAGAGATCACAAATAGTCAGAGAGGCAAGCAGAGAAAGAGGGGGAAACAGGCTCCCCGCTGAGCAGAGAGCCTGATGCGGGGCTCGATCCCAGGACCCTGAGATCAGGACCTGAACCAAAGGCAGAGGCTTAACCCACTCAGCCACCCAGGCACCCCCAAATCCAAATTCTTATTACATTTCAGTAAAAGTATCCAAGAAGTAGAGTGCAGGGAAATAGATATAATGCAGTAATTAGCAGTACTAGTTTCTTCCATCTCCATATCCTGGGTCAAGTGGAAGATGTATTTTATTTAATATACATTTACCAAACCTGTGTTAGAGACCATAAAAATAGGGTATTGTAGTCATCACCTTTTAACTCAATTTAGAAATTACTAACAGTTGTTACATTACATGTTTTTGTTGGTCTCTGATTTGTCAGAGACCTGAAAAATGGTTAACTGACATTTTCTGGATGGTCTTTAGGGATCTGAATGAATAATAGGGGAGAGGAAAAAAGGAAGAATATTTTTAGAGCAAGACTGGAAAGGGCCCCTCTTTTCTTGGTTTTATTTGGTGGATTATTAAGTTTTCGCCACTGAGACTTGACCTATAATCTTAGCTTTATTTTATTTTATTTTTATTTTTTAAGATTTTATTTATTTGACAGAGAAAGATACAATGAGAGAGGGAACACAAGCAGGGGGAGCTGGAAGGGAGAAGCAGACTACCCACTGAGCAGGGAACCTGATGTGGGGCTCAATCCCAGGACCCTGGGATCATGACCTCAGTGGAAGGCAGACGCTTAACAACTGAGCCACCCATGCACCCCCTTAGCTTTATTTTAGAGGGAAAAAAACCAGGCTGTTGGTATTATACCGTGAAGTTTTCATTTGTTTCCCCTTATGCTCATTAAAAATCAGTTTTCCTCATCTGTAATTGATCATTCAGTGCTATTTTTTAAATTTTAGCTATCCTGAATATACATCTTAATGAATGTATTTTCTTTCTTAAATGATATAAACAGTATTCCAAAAGAAATGGTATAATTTCACAAAGCTGTTGTAAAAATGACATGAGCAAAATGTTAAGTGTGATGCAAACAAAGCCTATTATTATTAAACTCCTTGGCAAACTTTCAAAAAAAAAAAAAAACCCTTGAATGTCAAAAACATATTTCTTAAAGTAAATGTTTATAAAATTTAAATGAATTATTTTAGCCCTCAGTTATTCAGATCTCAAGGTTTTATAAAGGAAAGTTCTAAATGTTTGATACTTATTCTATGAATTCATTTTTCATACTAATTTTGAAGTTAATAAACAATGTAATCACCATTTGTTGCTGTCTGCATTGTCTCTTCAGTCCTTAATATTGGTTTATAATGTGTTTTATACTTTTTAATGAAGGGCTTTGCACCATTTATCTCGCCTGAGAGACCTGGTTGATGATACCAGTGGGAAACAGTCACCGAAAATGTGAAGAGGAAAATAAAAAGGTCCAACAAATCAATAGTCATCACAGAACAAAGATGTATTTTTTTTCCTGTTGCTTAAACTGACAAAGAAAATTATAAGCCATGCATTATTCTGTGATTGGTTCAAGTATTATATATTCTTTAAAAAACAAACTTGAAAATGTGTGTAGGTTTTGTGACCTATCCTCATTTTATGCCAAAATACCAGAATGTGAACTGAGAGGACCCACACTGTGTCCTAACAGTCTGACTTTGGTCTTCAGGCCAGCAAATGTCCAATATTCAAAGATGGATGATGTCTGTTATTGAAGCTTATGTGGACTTAATCTTCTTGAGCATCCTCATCATTTTATCTTCTGGTTCTGGGTTATTAGGAAACTCTTCCTGGTTTCTATCCAAAATCTCTTAAGTAGACTTTTTGATACAAGTAGCATCTACCTTTAAGTTGGCTAAAGGAATATCAAAATTGTTATGGTGTAACTTCTCCATATATGTTACCTTTAATTTTTATAAATATTTTAAGGTATGTGGTATATGCAAAGAACAGTTTAATAATGGGATGATACAGTGCTAAAAGGAATGTTTCATGTTGTGAAATCCAAAAGAAAAACTCATTTAACTAATGCTTTGATTTTGATTCTGTGTAAGGTAATCTTGTGTGTGTGTGTGTCTGTGTGTGTCTGTGTGTGTCTGTGTGTGTGTGTGTGTGTGTAAGATAATCTTGATATCACTTAAGAGTTTACAAAATATTTTTGGGGAGTACATTTGAAAATTTAATATTTTGATATTCTCAGATTTTAGTTTTGGGGTTAGCTCAAACTAGTACAAATTCTAAGATCAGTGACCAATTGCTTTATGTAATTTGTTAAGTAAATTTAAACTGAATGTGGAAAATCCAGAAGCAGCTCTGTATTATAAAGCTATTTTGTAAGAGCTAAACATGGTTTAAAGCAATCTATAAAATTTGTCTTTAGCTGGAACTCAACAGAGCTCTATAGTTTTGCATTTTCTAACCAACTAAACTAATGAGCAAGAAAACACCTTTACTAACAAAACTAGGAAATAAATCATAAGGCAGATTTTAAAAGCCTGATGAAATGAAAGAATACGAGTGTCTGTATACAAACAGTACAAATTAACACTGCCCAAATTGTAGCATCTTTGCTAGATACCTTTACTGTCAAGTAGGAATTTCTAAGAGTACATTGTGTTGAATATTTTTTTCCCCTGAAGTTTAAAGCACTATATAATACCTTTGCTGTAGAACTTACATGTCAAAAACTATAGAATAGGGGCGCCTGGGTGGCTCAGTGGGTTAAAGCCTCTGCCTTCGGCTCAGGTCATGATCCCAGGGTCCTGGGATCGAGCCCCCGCATCGGGCTCTCTGCTCAGTGGGGAGCCTGCTTCCTCCTCTCTCTCTGCCTGCCTCTCTGCCTACTTGTGATTTCTGTCTGTCAAATAAAACAAAAACAAAAACAAAAACAAAAACAAAAAAACCTATAGAATAAACCTTGTTATTTTTTTCTTTTTTTTTTTGACCAGTGAGTCAGAGTTACCACCATGCAATTGTTTTTGCCCAGTTTGAGACTCACTGGCCGTTAAGTTTGTTTTGTTTACTCTGGAGGTATTTCTGCTACCAATATTCTATTTTCTGATTATTGTCTTCTGCTTCAAAACATACAGCTTGCATGTAATCAAATAAGGTGTTACTTTGACGATGAAAGTATGGCTGGCTGTTAAAAATGCAGATTTTAAGTAGGTGAACACTAGGTGGGTCTGGGTTGATCATGTTCCAGGCTTAGACAAATCCACTGTCACACAAATTCTATAGAAAGCAGAGAAGATGAATACATCATAATAAACTTCTAATTGCAAATATGTTGATTAGTATGCTTAAAAAGCATTTGCAAAGGGATTATGCTATAATGACTGAACAGCACTGATTTGGTTAGTACTATCATTTGCAAGAAAATATCTCGAGTGGTAAATAAGATAAGCCTTCTAAGTTTTTATATTACACCTAATATTTTTAGAAACTTGATTATAGTTACTAAAGGAGTATTTTTCCTTTTGTGTTAAATATGGAAGCTTAGTCATTTACCTAAAAAGGGAATTTAAAATGATTAATTCCAACTTTTTAAAAAAAGAAATGTATAGGAGAGTCAACTGAGAAAAATCTACATGATAAGTGTTCATGAAATTCTCCAAAGAATTGATTTAATTACATGTGAAATATTTTAGTATTCTTTATTTTGAATTTCCCAGGAGTAAAAGGGTGACAACAGTATTTAGACTGCTGAGCTGAAAATTAAAAGCAGACTATGGGAACAATTACAGGTTTTAAAAATTGCCATGAGAGGGGCACCTGGGTGGCTTAGTGGATTAAGCCGCTGCCTTCGGCTCAGGTCGTGATCTCAGGGTCCTGGGATCGAGTCCCACATCGGGCTCTCTGCTCGGCGGGGTGCCTGCTTCCCTCTCTCTCTCTCTCTGCCTGCCTCTCCGTCTACTTGTGATCTCTGTCAAATAAATAAATAAAATCTTTAAAAAAAAAATTGCCATGAGAATATAAATTTTTTATCAACCCCTTTTATAGGTATATTTCAAAGTGTTAGGTAGAAAAAGAATTTTTAGTTGAGTATGAAAAAATTTGACAAACCTAATTCCAAAATTCCTTTGAGATCAAAGGATAAAGGTGTGATGAGTATATAAAGACTCAAAACTCAGTTGTGTGTTCTTTATTGTCAGTAGGAACTTTACTTTCAGTATTTCTGTGTTAGCACATTTCAGCTTCATAGAGAGTTCTGACAAATTCGAGGACCACTGTTTGGGTTTGTTTGGATTATATGTCTGTCTAGTTTTGTATATTTCTTGTTGAAATTTATAAATGTGGGGGTTTTTTTGGTGTTATATTTACTGTTTAGGATAACATCTTATTAAATTATATACAGTTCTACCAAAATATTTTTTAAACATAAATAAATCATGACATGACCCCCCCCCCATGTTTTGAATGCATGGAATCACTCATGGATTTGAATTTTTGTTCCATCTTTCCTTTTCCAATGTTAACTGTGTCTCAAAACCCATTTGGTGGTTGTATTATGGAGATGTATGGAGATGTACTATGGACAAGTGAACTTGCCAAAAGGCAAGTATTGTGATAAGAGACAAAAGAAGCAAAAGACCAAAAAAAAAAAAAAGCAAAAGGCTAATAAAATTGGTAATTTCTGAGCAATTGAAGTTTCTTCAAAAGTGAAAGACTGTGTATCATTCTATTCTGTGTATCCATTGGGTGTACAGGGTTATGTGTCCTATTGGGTTGTAGCGCCTGTCATATAATGATTGGTGCAAACCTAGGCCTAAACCTGAACACATGTTCAGGTTATATTGTTAACATTTCCCCCATGACATTTGAAATTATTCTTTTCCTATTTGGTTTTTTCTTCTTTATTTTCACCTGTGACTAAGATCATTTTCCTATTCTGAACAAAAATATCTTTTTACCCTCCCAGTTTGTTCTGTATTGTCCTTACTCAAGACCAGACTTGTATAACAGCTTTTCTCACAATGTAGCAACTTTTCTAACAATGTAACAAAAATAACAACTATCCACCCTTCATTACCTTAACTAAAAGGTGCCTGTTGCCTCCTAATATCTATTTCAACCTGAAACATTCTTTCCTTTCACTTTCAGCCCTTGCATTGGAGACAGGCTGACTGGTCTTTCAAGACACTGTTGTTAACACCACTGCTATAACATTACTAATTTATTTCAGGAATTTCCTATAGCTAAATTGCTTTACTCATATTCTCCCAGACTTTCTGGCTGTATTCTCACCTTTGGGCATATTATTTCCTATACTTGAAACAGTTTTTTTTTTTTTTTTTCATTCTGGTTATGTAAATCTTACCCTACCATTGCTTTAATGTTCTGACCGAATGTTATAGTTTCTTTTCCACATATTCTAACATTTTTCCAGACTTGATAGGTTGGCTTTCCTTTTTCCATACCCATCACTCATTTAGCTATTATATTTTTTATTCTTGTATTAAATTGTGTCTCTTTACCACACTGTATCTCCAAGGGAGAAAATGTCTCAAAAGTTAGAGGATTTTTTTTTAATTGTATGATACTTCTATTTTTAATTTTTTAAAATTTTTATTTATAAACATATAATGTATTATTAGCCCCAGGGGTACAAGTCTGTGAATCACCAGGTTTACATACTTCACAGCCCTCACCGTAGCACATACCCTCCCCAATGTCCATAACCCCATCACCCTCTCCCTACTCCCCTCCCCCTGGCCCCCCTCAGTTTGTTTTGTGACATTAAGAGTCTCTTATGGTTTGTCTCTCTCCTGATCCCATCTTGTTTCATTTATTCTTTTCCTACCCCCAACCCCCGCCCCCCGCTGCAGCTCCACTTGCTCATATCAGGGAGATCATATGATAGTTGTCGTTCTCCGAGTGACTTATTTCGCTAAGCATAATACCCTCTAGTTCCATCATTGCAAATGGCAAGATTTCATTTCTTTTGATGGCTGCATAGTATTCCACTGTGTGTGTGTGTGTGTGTGTGTGTGTGTGTGTGTGTGTGTGTGTGTGTGATACACCACATCTTCTTTATCCATTCATCTGTTGATGGACATCTAGGTTCTTTCCATAGTTTGGCTGTTGTGGACATTGCTGCTGTAAGCATTTGGGTGCACGTGCCCCTTCGGATCACTATGTTTGTATCGTTAGGGTAAATACCCAGTAGTGCAATTACTGGGTGGTAGGGTAGCTCTATTTTCAACTTTTTGAGGAACCTCCACCCTGTTTTCCAGAGTGGTTGCACCAGCTTGCATTTCCACCAACAGTGTAGGAGGGTTCCCCTTTCTCTGCATCCTCGCCAGCATCTGTCATTTCCTGACTTGTTAATTTTAGTAGAGGATTGATTTTTATCTCCTTTAATGATAGCACCTCGGGGCGCCTGGTTGGCTCAGATGGTTAAGTCCCTGCCTTCGCCTCAGGTTATGATCTCAGGGTTCTGGGATTGAGCACCACATTGAGCCCTGTGGGCTCTCTGCTCTGCAGGGAGCCTGCTTCCCCCTCTCTCTGCCTCTTGTGATCTCTGTCAAATAAATAAAATCTTTTTAAAAAAATGATAGCACCTCTTACATTGTATAACCAGGAGCATGTAAACTTAAAATGACTCATGATTTTAAGCCTACCTCTCTGTAAGATTATAGGCTCAAGAAAGGAGAAATCGATTTTTTTGATTATGTGATGTTCTGCAAATCCTTAAAATGAAGTAAATTAAACCTATTTTTTTGATAGGTTTAGTTTACCTATAAACAGATGTTTCACTGTTTATCAAATAGTATCAACATATGTGTAAGTATTTTGGATGACATATCTATAAACCTAACCTTTTGAGCCCTCAAAACTAAAAGATTTTTTAGTTTATATTTTGCATTGTTTTATATATATTACATATTTTGCAATATTTTATATATTTTGTATTTCACCAGATATAAAAAGTATTTTACAGGTTTAGGACTATGTGTAGGAAAACTTTCAGTGGCTGGTTTTCATTGTGTTGCTTCTTTGATCGTGGCTTGATGGTTTTCATTGTGTTGCTTCTTTGAGCCTGGCTTGATAGGAAACTCAGTCTGGGTCCAATCTAAACAGAAACCATGTAGTGATTATAACAAGGGAAGTTTAATGTAAAAAAAAGTTTTAAATTATGGCAAAAGAAAAAAGATATGAGAATTCTATATGGTAACCCAGAGCTAAGGAAGAATACCAAATGAAGAAGTACTTGAGTACCTTTTGGAAGCAGGGGGCCTAAGATTTGGGTTCAGGTTTCCCTGAAGAAGGGGTAGCTGCAGCCCACAGGATGACAGTTTACTGGTTTGCCTAGGCCAGAGTTGGTCACTAGGCAAGTAGGAAGCCACCCTCCAATGTTCAGGGAAGCTGTAGCTAGTTACTGGGTGTGTGAGCACACAGAGACAGGGAGGGGTCTCAGTGTTAGCAGGAACATGAGGTGTTCGTGTTGGAAGGGTTGAAAGAAGGTGATCACCAGCCTGGCCCAGGTTTATGAGTGTCATGGAGAAATATATATTTTGGGATTGTGACTGGGGAAGAGCATCGCCAGATGTCTTCATACCCACCTAGTTTACTGATGGTGCAGCTGCCAGGAAGCAGTGGGAGAGCCCCTTCAGGGTGAATTTGGAGCTGAGAGATTGTAAATTGGTAGATTCTAGAAAGGTTTTGGTAGGAGAGAGCATCATACAGAAAATATGCTTTCCCTGTTTTGCAATGTCTTATATA